AAAGAATCCTCAAACCAATTTTCCTTCCTCTCTCTCACTGTCCGGTGCTTTTCTCGTGTGTGAAGTTTCAGGTGCGCGGGACTCGGACCTCAGTCATGGGACGGGGTCCCGGGCCGTTTCCTGGCGGCGGGCGGCGGGCAAGGGGGGGGACAGGTGCGTTGCGCAGGTGGACGGCGTCTGGGCTGAGTGCATGTTGTAGACGGATGTAGGAGCTTCTCGTTCCAAACAGCAGAGTGGGCTGGGAACGCTGAGCTGCGGGGCGGTGGGGCCTGCACGGGAAGGGTGGGGCACTTGGCACACTGGGTGCCAGCTAGCTGCTGGCCAGGGCGCGCAGCACAGGGCACCCCCCCTCACGCCCCAGGCCCCGCATTCACACTCACACCTAGACCATGATGTGACAATCCTGACTTGGGGTGTCTCCTTGACAGCAGATTGCAGGGGTGTTTTCTGGGATGAGCCGTGGCCGCTTTGGCTGGACCTGGAGGTGGTCAGCCCCGGCTCTCTCCTCCGCTCTGGGGCTACAGGGCAGGGACAGCGGCCTCCGCGGGCCTGTCCCTTCCAGTCTCTTCCCTGGTCCTGCTGTCCCTAGCCCTGGCCTTCTCAGAGGTGCCCACTGCCCCCTCCTTCGCCCTGAAGTGCAGCCACCCACCCTGGGTGGAGGCTGTCCCCCCCGCGGCCCCCCTCTCCCCGTGACTTGTTGCACAGACCCTTCAGGGTATTTGGCTGTTTTAGAGCAAAGCAGAATTTACCATCATGGACTCTGAGTGTGTGCAGCTGGCTGGGGGCGCGGGGACCCGCAAAGCGCAGAGAGCCAGCCCAGCCTCCCCCTGCAGCGGGGAGCTCAGCTCCGATGTCCCCCATCCTTCGCTGTTCTTTTCTCATCTCTGTTTTCCTAGCCAGTAATTCTGGTCCACTGTTGGTATTTTCTCTGGCCCTCCAAGCTCCATCTGTGTGAGTTGGGGGGGGAGGTGGAAAGGATGGGGGTGGGAGTGGGGGTGGGGGGTGTGGAGGCCCTAACTCAGCTGCTGTCAGTGCAAACAGATGTCTGAAGAAGGTGCTAACAAGGTCCCAGCCTCAGGAAGTGTGCTCCAAACAAGCAGTCAGAGGATCTAAGTGGGCTCCCTCTGGGCTGGCCACCTGTGGAGAGGGCCAGCTGTCACAGGACAGTGCCCCAGGGACCAGGTACCAGGGTGACTGGCCTTGGTTCCCCAGGGGGCTGCCTCAGCCTCGGCTGCCACGGGGGGGGGGGGGGGCCCACACTGAGTGGCACAGTGGCGGGTGAGCGAGGCCCTTTGTTTGAAGTGTCAGCTTCTCCCGTACCAGTACCAGCACCGAGTGTGTCCTTTGTCCCTGCCCATGATGCCATGGTGACGCCAGGGGCCACGACAACAATGATTGTCTCCCAGCTGTTTGGCTTCATTGTCCCCAAGGGGCACTGCGGGTAGCCAAGCAAGGCCACACTCCAGAACAAGGCAAGGGCTAGATCTGAGGGTGAGCAGTCAACGGGACCACCCACCATGAGCCCAGCCCGGCCTCTGCTGGCGGGGAGGGAGGGGGACACAGCAGACGCAGCCCACCCAGTCTCGTTGTGGAGATCCAGGTCACCTTGCACCTTGTCTCGGGACAATTCAGCAGTGGATGAATTCAACAAAACTGCCGCCGCTTACATACGTGACACAGACAGAGGGGTTCCCATCTTCTACTGACCCCAATGATATAGTTTATCTCTACAGGAGCTCAAAGATTTAAAGACAAATTATAAGGGGCTATGTCTGGTGGTGCATGTCTGTAATCCCAGCTATTCAGGAGGGAGATTAGGGAGGTCACGGTTCTAGACTAGCCAAACCAAAGTTAGCACTGGAGCCACCTGAAAAACAAAACTAAAACCAAAAAGGACAGGTGGAGGTAGGCATGGCTCAAGTGGTGGAGCCCCGAGGGAAGGAGGAAGAAGTCACATTTAAGTGATCATCTTACTTAGTGATCCACTAATTCTAGCTGTTATTCAAGTGGATTCAACTTCTGATTGGAGTCACATGCCAGTTTGAAACTATTTTAGGCAAAAGCAAGATATTTTAGTGAATGCATGAAGGAGAAGATCTCTGTCCCTGAGCTTTTAACAATAGACGTGAATTCTATGCAAACTGTTCTTGGTATGTGATATATATTTTTAGGACTATGTTGCATACAGCTTCATGAGAAGTTGCAATCCTTCGACAGCTCAGAAGTCACTGTCCAAGATCTTGAAGTGGTTTGGATGTGAGGTGTCCCTCTGGCTGGTTCCAGAGGGGCACTCTGGGGCAGGGGCCTGCAGGAGGGAGGGAGGGAGTCACAGGCCCTAGCTGCCTGCCCTGCTTGGTCCTTGATCCTCTCTGCTTGTCTGTCCGGGGTGAGCTCCGTCACATGCCTTGATGGACCCACCTCTGAAAAAAATCCTTCTTCCTTTTTAGTGTTTTCTGTCAGGCATTCTGTCACAGTAACAAGAAAACATACTTATCAGATACTATTTATATTAGAATTCTTTAAAACCTGGAGACTTTCCAGTAGTGATTAAAAAAGAAACCACTGAATCCTTGTGGTCCCTGGAGTCCCGGTGCCCTGGGGGAAAAGCACCCTCATTTCCATGCTTCCCCAGGAAAAAACACAAGTCATCAAATTTCTTTTACTTAAACATTAAGAAATTGCAGCACAGTGATTTACAAAATGTTCTCAGGACATCAGCGACATGCATGAAGATACGCCCTCTCCACGAGGCGCAGTGGCATTCATCAAAGCAACAGCAACAGTCTCATCTCTGGCTGAAGAGCCAGGCAGGAGAGCTGCAGCAAATGAATGCCTGGAAACAATGTGCTTAGCCTTGAACGCAGCCAGGAGGAAAGGCACAGGTAAAACAGCAAGAAAAAGGGATCAAAACAGAAACAGGCAGGGACAATGGACAGAGGTGGAGGAAGGTTCCAGAGCCGGCTGCTTTGGGGGTCCACCATGAACGAGGCCTTGCTCCTGTTCCATCTGTTCTCAGAACCAAGGGCAGAAGCGCGGGCATCACTGGCTGCTGCAGGCCGGGTCAGGTTGGTCTGTTCCCCGGGGCTCAGCCCCGGCTCCGTCGCACGAAAATGGAGTCACTCCACAGGGTATTGTGGGTTTTTCGGTTGATCTAGCTTCCACTGAGCTAAACACCATACACCTCACTGAAGTGCCCAGAACATGAGAGAAGGCGAGAGAGAAAGGAGGGTGGGAGGCGAGAGACAGCAGAGCGAGAGCGGGGCGAGGGAGCCAGAGAGCCAGACAAGTCCACCACAAGAAAAAAGCTTTTAAAAAGCCAGGGCTTCAACTGAAGGTGTAATTAAAACTTGCTACATTAAAGTCTAAAGATAATCGTTCAAGTGGCTACTTATAAAGCAAGTGAAGAAGGCTGAGGTGACTTGCTACTCTTCTCTGGCCGCCTGCTCCGATTGTGCTGTGTTTCACTCCCGCTGAAGGCAATCCGCTCAAGAGGCCTGGAAGAAGCGTCTAGAAACCCGCTTCCAGCTAGTAGAAAAGGCATGGCTCCTGAGACAGTTTTACCGTTTATTAAAATAATAAACAGAAATTTAAAAATCACCATTTACGGTTTCCAGCGCCACCTGTCCCCGGCCGGCCAGCGTCATCCGCGGGCTGCGTTCTCCTGAGTCTCCGGGCTGCTCTCCCTCCCTGCCCAGCACGGGCGTCGTGTGTGCGCGTGTGCACGCGTGTGTGCCTGTGACGGGTGTGTGTGATGGATGTGTGCATGTGACGGACGGGGGGGGAGCACTGTGTCCACAACGGCAGGTGTGCCCTGGCGTGGGTGGGTGCGGACACACCTGCGTGCAGAGCCGGAAGTGTCGAGGTCCCCCGGGTGATGCCAGCCCTTCCCAGGCCACACCCGGTGCAGCCCGCGCTCCGTTCCTGGGCTCTCGAAGACCCAGCGTGCTTCTGGCGTCTGGGAGGACGGGTCACTCTCGAGCCCCCGGCTGCGGGGTGGGAGGGAGGCTGGGGCGGTGGGGGGCCGGCCTCATGCCCACCTGCGGCTCGCCCGGCCCGGGCCGCGGTCCCGGGGTGCCCAGGTGCGGGGGGCCGCGGTCCCGGGGTACCCAGGTGCGGGGGGCCGCGGTCCCGGGGTACCCAGGTGCGGGGGGCCGCAGCCCCGGGGCGCCCAGGTGCGGGGGGCCGCGGTCCCGGGGCGCCCAGGTGCGGGGAGGGCCGCAGTCCCGGGGTGCCCAGGTGCGGGGGGCCGCGGCCCCGGGGTACCCAGGTGCTGGGGGCCGCGGTCCCGGGGTGCCCAGGTGCGGGGGATCGTGGTCCCGGGGTGCCCAGGTGCGGGGGATCGCGGTCCCGGGGTGCCCAGGTGCGGGGGGCCGCGGTCCCGGGGTGCCCAGGTGCGGGGGGCCGCGGCCCCGGGGTACCCAGGTGCTGGGGGCCGCGGTCCCGGGGTGCCCAGGTGCGGGGGATCGCGGTCCCGGGGTGCCCAGGTGCGGGGGGCCGCGGTCCCGGGGTGCCCAGGTGCGGGGGGCCGCGGTCCCGGGGTGCCCAGGTGCGGGGGGCCGCGGTCCCGGGGTGCCCAGGTGCGGGGGGCCGCGGTCCCGGGGTACCCAGGTGCGGGGGGGCCGCGGCCCCGGGGCGCCCAGGTGCGGGGGGCCGCGGTCCCGGGGTGCCCAGGTGCGGGGAGGGCCGCGGTCCCGGGGTGCCCAGGTGCGGGGGATCGCGGTCCCGGGGTGCCCAGGTGCGGGGGACCGCGGCCCCGGGGTGCCCAGGTGCGGGGGATCGCGGTCCCGGGGTGCCCAGGTGCGGGGGGGCCGCGGTCACGGGGTGCCCAGGTGCGGGGGATCGGGGTCCCGGGGTGCCCAGGTGCGGGGGGCCGCGGTCACGGGGTGCCCAGGTGCGGGGGATCGCGGTCCCGGGGTGCCCAGGTGCGGGGGGCCGCGGTCACGGGGTGCCCAGGTGCGGGGGATCGCGGTCCCGGGGTGCCCAGGTGCGGGGGGCCGCGGTCACAGGGTGCCCAGGTGCGGCAGCGAGTCCAGGCGCCCCGTGCGGCCCCGCGCCGCCGCCGCCGCCTCCACGCCGCGCAGCCACTCGGTGCAGCGGCGCACCAGGCCCTCGTCGGGCGGCGCCTCCCGCGGCTCCTCCTCGTACTCCAGGTCGTCGTAGCGGCGCTGCTCGTTGAGCAGCGACACCCGGACCACCGGCCGCGGGCCCTCGGGCCAGGGCCAGGCCCGCAGGGCCCCGGGCAGCAGCTGGGCGCGGGGCGGCGGGCGGCGGGCGCGGGCCGGCGTCGGGGACGAGGCCGGGGCGCTGGCGGCGCCGCCCCTCGGCGGGCCGGCGGTGCTGGCGCGGGGCGCGGGCCCGGGGGACGAGGGCGGCCGGCCGGGCTGCGCCTGCTGCCGCCTCTCCGGGTGGCGCCTCCGGAGGACCGGGGCGGCCTCGAGGGCGAGGCTTAGGGAGAAGCGCGTGGGGTCTTCGGGCTCCGCCCCGGCCCGCGCACCCGCGGACGCCGCTCCCGCGGGGCCCGGGCCGCAGCCGGCCCGCCGGGGCGCCGCGCAGGTGGCCGGGGCGCGGCTGGCGCGCGCGGGGGGCGGCGTCTGCGTCCGGGCCGGGCCGGGCCCGCGCCGCGCCGGCGGCCGCTTCAGGTTGGCGCAGGGCCACGAGCTGGACAGCGGCGTCCCGCGCTCCGGGGCCCGCTTCCTCCTCTCGGCGGCGGGCGTGGAGGACGGCGAGGGCGCGGCTGGCGCGCAGGGCCTCGGGGGCGGCGGCCGCGCGGCGGGGACCCCGGCAAGGACCCCGGGGGCCGAGGCCGGCGGCGGCGGCCTGCGCGGGAAGGGCATGGCGGGGTGGCGGGGCTCAGCGGCGCCCTGGGGGGAGACGGGCGGCGTCAGCGGCGCCCCCGCCCCCCCCGGCGCCCCGCACCCCCCCCCCGCACCCACCTGCGTCGGGCCGCCGCATCCCCGGCTTCTCTCGCCGCTGGGCCCGGGCGCAGGACTCCGGTGAAGGCGCCCCCACCTCGCCTCCGCGGGCAGCGCTCCTCCCGGCCTGGTCCGAGGAGGCGGCCCCGCCCGGTCCGCACCCGAGACGCGGGCGGGACGGCGGGAGGAGGAGCCGCGGCCCCGGCCCGCCGCGCGCCGCTGTCGATGCTGTCACAACCGGCTGTTGAGCCCGCGGCCCGGGGCGCAGGGGCGAGGGCGGAGCGGGCCGGCAGGGCCCGGGACCTGGCCCCCCGCGACCCCGGCCCCCCGCAATCCCGTCCCCGCGACCCCGACTCCCCGAGACTCTGGCCCCCCGCGACCCCGGCCCCCCGCGACCCCGGCCCCCCACAATCCCGTCCCCACGACCCCGACTCCCCGAGACTCCGGCCCCCCGTGACCCCGGCCCCCCGCGGCTCGGCCAAGCGGAGCTGCGCGGACGTGGGGCGGCCCGGCCCGCCGCGGAGCCCCCCTTCACCGCGTCACGGCGAGGCAGATGGGGGAGGCCGCGGCGGCTGCAGCGGCGGCTGGAGCGGGCCGACCACCTTCCCCCTCCAGCCCGCCACGTCCAAACGCGGGCGGCCCGCAGCCCCGAAGGCGCAGCGCCAGCGCGCCGGGCAGCGGCCCGTGGCGGTGGAGGCGGTTACGCTGCGGGGTCTGCAAGGAAATCCACGCCCACGGGCCGGCGAGGCCCAGGCGGGCGGGCTGCCGCAGCATGTCCATCTCCACACTCACTGGGACCGGTGACCGCCCAGACTCGCGGGGCGCCCAGGCGGGCCGGCCTGGTGGATGTGACTGTCACCATACCCACTGTGACCGGTGACCGCCCAGACTCGCGGGGCGCACAGGCGGGCGGGCCTGGCGAGCGCACCCATCACCGCGCCTGACACGGCCCGGCCCGCATGGCCCACCTCGGGGAGCAGAGCAACACCGGTAAGCCTGGGCACAGGAAGCACGGGGCAAGGGAACGCGAGGGTGGAACAGTGCTCACCAGAACCTCTGGAGTTGGTTTAGGCCCCACGACCACCCCCAGCACCTCCCAGCCCACCCCATCCTCACCCTCTGTGGAGCATGCCAATGGTTCCGAAACGACCTCCAGGGACTCTCTGGACCCCGGCAGGGCCTGGGGGCAGCTGGCCTCGGCGTCTGAGGCATGGGAGGGAGGGAGCAGTGGCTGCGAGCAGAGCATGTCTAGGAGAGAACTCGGGGTACAGGGCCAGATGTGGAAGCAGAGGATGGACACGTGGCCGCGGACATGGACCTCACCAGCTGGTATGGGGACACTGGGTCTGGTGTCCCCGGTGGGTGGAGACGGTGGGAGGCTCGGGTCAGGGCACTTGTGAAGTCATGGTGGTTAGGGGTGGCGAGTGTGTGGCTGTGGAAAGGAAAGGCTATGTACTAGTGGCAATGGCAGCACTGAGTGTGTCTCAGTCACACTCCCATCTCTCCTGTTTCACTGAGAAACTGGCATACAAAGGCAAGCCTCCCCGCCCCCCATCACCCAGGCAACAGAAACAACCCCAGGCCAAGTCCAAAGGCCCACAGGACTGCCGGGCTGAAGAGAAGTGTTGCTGGACAGGACGGACTTCCTGCCCCAGCTCCGCAGCTAGATGTAGGCATTAGCCATATCCTTCCCAGACAGTCCCCGCTTAGGGGCTGGGGGCCAGGAAGACAGGAGCCTGCTGCCCTTGGGGAGGCAACAGAGTGCCCGGGACTCTGGTCCCCAGGGTGACGGAGTGGGCTTTTCTAAAAGACCTTCCCACCTCTGGCACTGAGAGGGGCAGGGCCCCTGCCCCCACCCTGCTCTTCAACACCTTGTAAGCTACAGGTTGTGGGGGGGGGGCTGGGAACGCAGCCATGCTGCCAGCTGCAGGCTCTGGGCAGTGCTGTTGTAGGACCCACCACACCCTCTGACAGTCACAGCAAGGTGACAAGGTGACCAACCCTGCTCTCACGAGAGGCGATTCTCAAAGCGGCGATTTAAGCGTCAAGGGTTAAACTTGTAACCTATGTAGGAGGGAGTCTGCCCTGCCCCACCCACAGCACAAAGCCTACAACTGTTTGAGGATCAACAGTGAAACCTGAGATCTGGAACCTCTAAACACAGTTACACACCACTACATGCTGCCCAGAGGCCCCCAACTTTCCCTCTCAAAGGGGCTGACTGGGACCACTCAGGAAACACAAGTGAAAGGCTCTCTTTTTTTGATGATTGTTTTTTTTGGGGGGTCCAGTTGTGGGGCCTGAACTCTGGGCCTGGGCGCTGTCCCTCAGCTCTTCAGCTCAAGGCTGAAGAAGAAGCCACTGTGCCACTTCCAGCTTTTATTTTCTGCTTATGTGCGGAGGAATCGAACCTCAGGCATGCAAGGCAAGCACTCTACCACTGAGCCACCTTCCCAGCCCGATGATTGTCTTCTTTATGTATGGTGTAATCACATGCGTATCTCTGGGAGGGAGGGAGGGTGGGGAGGGCACAGAACTGGAGGGAAAAAGTGCAGCAGTGGGCTCCCTGGACGCTGATGGAAGTGGGTTGAGACGGGAGGGGGTGGGCGGGACGAGGGAAGAGAAGACACTGTGCAAAGATAACTGTCCCCTGCGGGAGCACATCACCTTAGTAATAACAATGAAGAATGTAAAAACAAACCAGAGGCGGATACTCAGAACTGTCCACCTTGCTCATCTGTCATTTAATTTTCAAATTTCCAAGATAACAATATCACAATAATTATCAAGAATTTTCTTCCTCATGATTCTATCAGACTAAGTGTACGTTAGAGCAATGACTTTTCATACAATAACCCTTCAGACATTTCCAAGGGCTGACGTGGCTGGGGTGTAGAGCACCTGCTTAGCAAGTGAGAGACCCTGATTCAATTCCCAGTACTGCTCCCAGTACTGCTGGTGGCTCATCCCTGTAATCCTAGCTCCTCTGGAGGCACTCTGGCGGCCAGGCCCTGAGTTCAAGCCCAGGACTGGCAAAAAAAAAAAAAAAATCAGAATGAATAAAATGCTCACGGGAACATTTCAGTCACTAATGTATCAGTAATCATTCATACACTCCTATGTCCAGACCCAGCCAACACGAGGCAATCACAGATACAGATCTACACTGCCCGAACGGACATCACCAGGCTGAGGTGCGAGGCCCCACCCCACTATGTTCAGGTCAACCGGCCATCACCACCTGTGACCAGGAAGTTAGCCATGATTGGGTTTTTGCTTTTTTTTTTGGCAGTTGCGGGGGGTTGAACTCAGGGCCTGGTCACTGTCCCTGAGCGCTTTCGCTCAAGGCTCAGGCTCCAACACTTTGAGCCACAGCTCCACTTCCAGTTTTTGAGTGGTTAACTGGAGGTAAGAGGCTCATGGGGACGTTTCTGCCCAGGCTGGCTTCGAACCATGATCCTCGGATCTCAGCCTCCTGAATACCTAGGAGGTAGCAGTGCCCAGTCAGCCATTATTCTTTAAAAAACAAAAAAAGTTAAAATTTTGTTAAATCTTCCTTTCATGAGGCATATGTAATGCATACAGAAAAACTTCAAAACATCTCATCCTATTCTTCATGCTGTTTCTGAACTTTGATTCGATTAATTAGACACGATACGGTGATAAAGTCATCTAATCTGAACTTGATTTTTGCCTGAATTTGTCTTGCTTCCTTGGCTAGTGCTCAACCACTTGAGCCATGCCTCCAGGCCAGCTCTGTCACCCTAGAGCTCCTCAGACCAGCAGCAATGTGGTGGCACCAGTCCATTTTGGTACCTGCAGCCCCCTCCACCGGAGCTCAGTTGATGGGGAGCTCCGAGTCCCAAGTCATCGTCAGGTGTCTTGGGGTCATAAGATGTGCTGAGGTTTCACCCTAGATCAGCCGTCGCTGCAGAGAATCACGTCCTGAGCAGCCACGGCGATGGACTCCATATCCTAAGCGAGGTCCCCTCCCTCACTGTGCTCTCCGGCAGCCACCTCGCGTCTGGACGCTCACGTGTGACCCGTTCACACCGTGGACGGCCATGCTAAGGACTGGCCCTCTTTAGACGGGCTTGGAACCCCCACATACAACAGCTACAACTAGAAGAAAAGTAGCTGGGGCTGCAGAGACTGCCAACACAGCCTCTCCCCACAGGGGAGGGATGGAGCAGACTCAACCAGATGAGTGTCTGTGCGCTCTTAGGCACCCCGTCCCACTGCCCACAGCACTGGAGGCCCCAGAGCAGCCAGCAACAAGGGGACAAGTGCGAGCCTTGTGTGCCTTCTCTGTCTCTTTGTGTCTCGGTCCCAAGGCCATGCGCACCCCACGGTGGACGTCTTCTCAGCATTGCTCTGTCCTGGCATGACCCTGAGCCAATAGAGTACGCTGGCGAGGCCCCCAACTTGTGCTCTTAAGAGCAGGGGTCTTTGTGAAGACAGGTCTATGTGCTCTGCGCACATGACCCTCAGCAAGGGGACTGTGTGCCACCTGTGTGGCCTGGACTGCAGGCTTGCCAGCTGCCCCCTGCTCCTGCTGCTGGGGGTCAAGCTGAGTCCAGCCAAGGAAGTGGGCAAGGCCGGCAGACAGCATTTGAGTTCCAAGAATCTGGACAGGAATGAACACAAGAGTCATTTCTCAGTGGGCTTGCAGCTCTGCTTCCTCCACCTCCAGTGTTCCTGCAGGTGCCCGGTCAGGGCAGGACGAGGTGACGTGGGGCTCGCAGAGCAGAGTGAAGCCAGCTACAGCGAGACCGCAGCGGGGTCCCGGGAAAGGTGCCCTGCCCCCCCGCTGTTGCCGGCCGAACTCCTTCATTATACTGCCATCCTTACCTGCTAACTGTCCAAGGCAATTTCAGGACGTGCGCTCTGCAGTGACCACCTCCTCCTCTGCCCGCCTGCCCTGCAGTCCCATCCTGCTGCAGCTGAGCTGGGCCCCTCACCCGTGGCTCCCGGGAACCTATCTGCGGTCTCCTGCCCGGGCCCAAGCAGGACCACGCATGGCGTGGTGAACGCTCCGCGTTGCGTTTTCCTGCACCAATGCAGAGGACGCTGACCAGCAGGATCCGGAGGCCATGGTACTCAGGGCAGGACGCTGGATGTCCTGCCCCTCCAACCACATTGGAACCTTGGTGACACCAAGCCACCTGAACTCCCCACGGTGCCGGGCACCGCACTCACCTCCATGGTGATGAGAAGGGCAGCCAGCTGTGGCCAGGCCACTCCCGCCTCGCTGGGCCAGTGAGCTGCCACAGCCCCGCCAGAGGGGCCCTGCACTGCGGCGCCTGCTCACCGGGCTCGCGCTGCTCCTCACCCCTCCTCTGCTGCCACTGGCCACACAGGGCCAGGTGGGGTGGGGCACCAGGACGCAGCGCCCCACTCCTTCCCAATTGGGAGCCGACAGTAAAGCTCCAAGGTCATCTTGACCCCCCGTGATTGCTTGAAGGCACATGCAAGAAGCTGGCTTACTTGAAAGACACCAGGTACCTGGATTGCTTTGCTATGTCTGCAGAGTCTGTGTGACTTTCAACCAGTTGACCTTGTCTTGCTTTTACTGCACTGTTTTTACTGAAATTTTCCTTGTTTTTCTGGACTATAGTAACCTTATGCTGCTTCTTGACTTCTAACAGTATACATTAGGGAAAGTTAAAGGTAAACGGTGCTACAGTCTTGAGCTGCAGACCTCCCGACCCCATCCTTTGTCCTGGTTTTTTTTTTTTCTCATCCTCGCCCTAAATCAGGATTCCCTTTTGCTCCAGCACGTCCCAAAGCCACCCTGACCCACCCTCCTCCTCACCTGCGTCCCCTGGCTCCTCCTTCCTCCTCACCTGCGTCCCCTGGCCCCTCCTTCCTCCTCACCTGCGTCCCCTGGCCCCTCCCTCCTCTGCACCTGGTGGCCTGGCCTCTGCCACCTCCTCCCAGGCCCTTACCCGGTCTCCTCATACTCAGTCCTCAGGGTATGGCTGACACAAGGCCTGCACCTGCACCGTAGTCTACAGAGATTACAAGAGTGCCTTTTATTAAACTGAACCACTTAAAATAAATTTAATTGTAAAAATTGTTATTTTTCCAAGAGTGGGTTTATTTTGAAATTGTAAAGATATATATTATTTTTATTACATGTAATAAGCAACTTTAAGATATAAAGTTTCACATTTTTAAAGTTAAAAAAGGTCTTAAAAATGCAGACATTTAAAGAAAACCAAGTAAGCTGAATGCACCCTGCAGCACAGATCTGGCTCTTAGATATTCACACCTCAGAAGCTGTTCTGGGAAAATTATCTACAACTGGCAATGATCAGGCGCCTCCTATCTTTGGAAGCAGGTTGACGACACAGAGTGAATGCAGGCTACTGGCAGGAACGGTGTCGGTGGTGCGTGTGTTCACCAGTACAGGAGAAGGTCTTCAGCTCCAGAGGGCTGGCTCTGGAGTGACTGACAGCTCTGTTGGGAACTGTGTACTTCAGAGCACTATCTCAAACACAGTTTATCAGCACGCCAGTGTTTCTGTCCTGTAAAAGCACGCTAGGACACTCAGCTTAGGAGAGAAGAGCAGCACTTAAGAACAGCATCCCTGGAGAAGAGGAAGGCAGGAGACAGTCACATTCCTCAAAAGCACAACTGCAGGGACAATCGGACACTACTGGGATTCTGATGAACTAAGGTGGTATCTACAACTTGAAAGTAAAAGCTGAGGCGGAGATATTTGTACTGAGGCTTGAACTCAGTGCCTGGGCACTGTCTCTAAGCTTCTCTTGTTCAAGGCTAGCACTCTACACCTGAGCCACAGCACCACTTCTGACTTTTTCCGTTTATGTGACACTGAGGAATCGAACCCAGGGCTTCATATATACTAGGCAAGCACTCTACCACTCAGCCACATTCCCAGCCCTGCCAATTTTTTTTTTTAATTTTTTTTTTCTTTTTTTTTTCCCCTGCCAATTCTTGAATGGTATTTGTCTCTAAAATCTTTACCATCACATTTGTTGATCAATATAAATAAATAAATTCAACCTGGGCACTGGTGGCTTCTCACCTATAATCCTAGCTACTCAGGAGGCTGAGATCTAAGGATCTTGGTTTGAAGCCAGCCCAGGCAGGACTTCAGTTAACCACCAAAAAAGTGGGAAATGGAGCTTTGGCTCAAGTAGTAGAGTGCTAGCCTTGAGCATCTGGACAAAACCCATATCCTGAGTTCAAGCCTCAGGACCCACATGGAAAAAAAAGTCAAAACTAATCTAGTGAAAGCATATTTTTAAAAGAGCTAATGCACTGTACACTTGCCTACATACGCATGTTTGACCCTAGCCTCAACACTGTAGTCACAGAATCAAACCAGGTGCCCATCAACTGTCAGTGGATAAGGTTCACTGTGGCATATATACACAGTGGAATATCATTCACCCATTAAGATATGTTTGCAGGAAAACGTTGGAACTGGAGATCATCATGGTAAGAGAAAGTTGAACACATGTGTTCTCTCATATAAGCCTGGCTGTGCCAGCTCTGTGCATCCAGATGCTGTCTCTGGCCCTCCCTTACTCTCTTTTGTGCTGGACTGGCCCGACAGGGGGCACCCGTGAGAGCTTCCCTCATGGCCCGCTGACTGCATGCTTCCGGCCCCCAGGTGAGGAGGCAAAGTTCCCCAGGAGACAGAGTGCGCCATGGCGCAGGGATGCTTGCCTCGTGGTGCCAGAGGCAGAGAGAGATTTTGAAAGCAACATATTTAAATATCATGGACCCCTAAGAGTTCCAGAAATATTAATCAATGAGAAATACCGATCAAGGTGACAAACCACCTTTCATAACTTCTTCTGTATGTTTACACTATTACATAAAGGATGCTCATTAAAAAAACAAACAAATCCTTTTACCCATCAATAACATCTGAGACTTGTTCTGCATGTCACAAGTTGCTCTCCAGGGTAGGACTCTGGGGGAGGGCAGGTCATGTCTCACATGTTTTTATTCTCCTTATAACTGTTCATCAAAAACAATTACCCATATATGATGATGGAACAAAGAGGTACTAATTTCCTTCATTGTTCTTATTTTGTATACAATTTTGCCGTGTTTTAAAATATACATCATATCTCAAAATTTCAGAGAAGCACAGCCAAGTCTCACCAGAATCTTTTCCCCAATCTATCAGTCTTAAGACTAGAATTAAGTTTTTTTTTTTTTGCCAGTCATGGGGCCTGAACTCTGGGCCTGGGCGCTGTCCCTCAGCTCAAGGCTAGTGCTCTACCACTGGAGCCACAGCGCCACTTCTGGCTTTTTCTGTTTATGTGGTGCTGAGGAATCGAACCCAGGGCCTCATGCTTGCAAGGCATGCGCTCTACCGCTGAGCTACCTTCCCAGGCCCTAGAATTAAGTTTTGTTTTTACTCTACTACTTAGTCAACACCTTTGTCTGGAAAGAGAAAATGACAGTTGCCTTTCAACATAGAGACTATATACGTTTTTGCTGGCTAATAACGTTTATGTAGCACATTTTCCTAACACCTCCCCAACCCCATTTTTTCAAAAGCAGAATTTGTTGCATTGGAGCTGTGTCCTGTTACTGAGCTGAAGAGCACAGGAGGGTCCACATCGTCCTGACTGCGACTGCAGGGCAGGAGTGGTTTACAACCTCCCTCACGTGTGTCCAGATTTGACACACGGTGCTTTTCATCTCATGCAAAAAAAAAAAAAAAAGATTAATTCCATTAAGTAAGAAAAGTCAACTGAACGAAATACTATTTAAACCCAGGTATCTGTATAAACACGATAAAAGGGCAAGAAGTAAAGAACTCAAACAAGCTCACCGTGCATAGGGGATGTAGGACAGACTGTACCTGCAAGAGATTCAGTACATTGTCAGCTGCTCTGCACCAGCACCCCTGCAGCCCAAATGGCAGTGCCTAATACCATCACAAGCGCAGTAAGACGCAGACAACAAGCCATAGCAAGCCCGCCCTCCCGGGCAGGTGATCCACCTCTGACCACCCGCGCCCACCCTTTCAAGTATGCTGCTTGTTTTTGAGATGGGGTCTTACTTCCTGCCAGGAATGTATGTGCCTGGACCACAGTCCCCCTACTTTCTGCCACAGCTGGGATGACAGGCGCCTGCCACCATGCTCAGCTGTTGAGCTGAGACGCAGTCTCATGGACTTTTCTGTGTAGGATAGCCTCAAATCACAGTCCTCTCAATCTGCCTCCTAAATAGTTAGGAATATAAGTGAGAGCTACTGGTGCTAGACCTACATTATATCATTTTTCCCTCCCAGCATGACACCCACCCTCCTGGACCCCACCTCCAAAGGGCAGAGGCCGGCCCTACACCAGAACTCAGACCTCACAGCAAGTCTGGACTAAGGCACAGGATTCAAATCCCCGATTCTAGGGCTTTACAGGTTACAGGCATGCCAGCCATTTTATCTTTCTAAAAGCTGTTTTAAGAAAAACACTTACCACGTCATGGACAAGAACTGCAATATGCAGAATAACAAGGCCAGTTCCTTCTTGTGCTATTAACAAGAGCAAAAACAGAATAATGCATGTAGACTTAAAGTAATACTTCCTAGAATTAAGTCCGATTTTTCCCCTTCAAAAAGAAAATAAATTCAGCAAAGAAAAGAATTTCTTTATTAAATTTTAGTATGATACACTCCAGAAACTCAAATGTCCAGGAAGTACATTTCCTTTCAAAAACCATCTATTCATTTAAATATTGCAAAACACGTGACCTTAAATGTGTCTGAACAGCTGTGCAGAGGCCGGAAGCAGTAACTTCTTGGGTCAGGTCTTGAACTCACCTAAGCCTTCCTAGCCTCTGCTCCCCTCAGACCCACACCGGCTGCGCCGTCTACTACCTGACCTCACTCCCTCACCTACAGTCCTGCTCCACACACACACACACACACACACACACACACACACACACACACACACACACACAAAACCCATTAAGCCCCTTTCTTCTTCTGTGGTGCTGGGGATTGAACCCAGGGTCTCACCCATGGGCAGGCCGTTACTCTAGTACTGAAATGCATCCCAGCCCTTGCCTTTCTTTTTCCCAGTGTACAGTCTGGTTGCTAGTGCAAGAAGTGCCCAAGGCCTTTTGGAAGCAGGTAAGTACAAAACACAGGCAGATCTAATGAAGAACCCGAAGCCCCAGTTAGTGACACGGGCTGTCATTATGTCCCATCCCCAGAGACTAAAGATGCGGGTCCAGTGTCCACAAGTGGTCCATGGCTGAGGCTCTCTGCACCCTTCCTACTGGTCTGCTTGGTTCCCTGCCTTCTCTCCCCCAGGTCTGAGCACCCTGTCCCACCTGTGCCTGCCCTACGGTGGCTCAGGAGCCCACGGGGGAACCCAAGGGAGGACCCACATCAACACACCGGGAGAAGCACCAGCCAGAGACTCACAGTGCTGTTACACTCACACGGCACCATCCTCTCCATCTAGCCAACTGGCTGTCCATTTAACTTGTGATCCCTGGGAGCCTTATAAAATAAGACTGAGCTATTTTGAAGTGATGACACCTCAGGAGGAAAGGTAGCAGCTGGCAGGAAGCCTGCCCAGCTCACACTACTTACCCACAGAGCAGCACACAGGGTAAAGACGAGGCACAGCTACGGAGGAAAGAGGACAGACAGGGTGAGTGGCCAGAGGCCCTCCAGAAGCCGAGTCAAAGCACACAACTATCCTGCATCTGCCCCAGGGGACTCACTGGATGGACTGTCCTGCATCTGCCCCAGGGGACTCACTGGATGGACTGTCCTGCATCTGCCCCAGGGAACTCACTGGGTGGACTGTCCTGCATCTGTCCCAGGGGACTCACTGGATGGACTGTCCTGCATCTGCCCCAGGGGACTCACTGGGATGGACTGTCCTGCATCTGCCCCAGGGGACTCACTGGATGGACTGTCCTGCATCTGCCCCAGGGGACTCACTGGATGGACTGTCCTGCATCTGCCCCAGGGGACTCACTGGATGGACTGTCCTGCATCTGCCCCAGGGGACTCACTGGGATGGACTGTCCTGCATCTGCCCCAGGGGACTCACTGGGATGGACTGTCCTGCATCTGCCCCAGGGGACTCACTGGGGTGGACTGTCCTGCATCTGTCCATAGGAACTCACTGGGGTGGACTGTCCTGCATCTGCCCCAGGGGACTCACTGGATGGACTGTCCTGCATCTGCCCCAGGGGACTCACTGGGGTGGACTGTCCTGCATCTGCCCCAGGGGACTCACTGGGATGGACTGTCCTGCATCTGTCCATAGGAACTCACTGGGGTGGACTGTCCTGCATCTGCCCCAGGGGACTCACTGGATGGACTGTCCTGCATCTGCCCCAGGGGACTCACTGGGGTGGACTGTCCTGCATCTGCCCCAGGGGACTCACTGGGATGGACTGTCCTGCATCTGTCCATAGGAACTCACTGGGGTGGACTGTCCTGCATCTGCCCCAGGGGACTCACTGGATGGACTGTCCTGCATCTGCCCCAGGGGACTCACTGGGATGGACTGTCCTGCATCTGTCCATGGGAACTCACTGGGGTGGACTGTCCTACATCTGTCCATGGGAACTCACTGGGTGGACTGTCCTGCATCTGTCCATAGGAACTCACTGGGGTGGACTGTCCTGCATCTGTCCATGGGAACTCACTGGGTGGACTGTCCTGCATCTGTCCATGGGAACTCACTGGGGTGGACTGTCCTGCATCTGCCCCAGGGGACTCACTGGATGGACTGTCCTGCATCTGTCCATGGGAACTCACTGGGGTGGACTGTCCTGCATCTGTCCATGGGAACTCACTGGATGGACTGTCCTGCATCTGCCCCAGGGGACTCACTGGGATGGACTGTCCTGCATCTGCCCCAGGGGACTCACTGGATGGACTGTCCTGTATCTGCCCCAGGGGACTCACTGGATGGACTGTCCTGCATCTGCCCCAGGGGACTCACTGGGGTGGACTGTCCTGCATCTGTCCATAGGAACTCACTGGGGTGGACTGTCCTGCATCTGCCCCAGGGGATTCACTAGATGGACTGTCCTGCATCTGCCCCAGGGGACTCACTGGGATGGACTGTCCTGCATCTGTCCATAGGAACTCACTGGGATGGACTGTCCTGCATCTGTCCATAGGAACTCACTGGGGTGGACTGTCCTGAATCTGCCCCAGGGGACTCACTGGGATGGACTGTCCTGCATCTGTCCATAGGAACTCACTGGGGTGGACTGTCCTGCATCTGCCCCAGGGGACTCACTGGATGGACTGTCCTGCATCTGCCCCAGGGGACTCACTGGGATGGACTGTCCTGCATCTGTCCATGGGAACTCACTGGGGTGGACTGTCCTGCATCTGCCCCAGGGGACTCACTGGATGGACTGTCCTGCATCTGTCCATGGGAACTCACTGGGATGGACTGTCCTGCATCTGTCCCAGGGGACTCACTGGATGGACTGTCCTGCATCTGCCCCAGGGGACTCACTGGGATGGACTGTCCTGCATCTGTCCATGGGAACTCACTGGGGTGGACTGTCCTGCATCTGTCCATGGGAACTCACTGGGGTGTACTGTCCTACATCTGTCCATGGGAACTCACTGGGTGGACTGTCCTGCATCTGTCCATGGGAACTCACTGGGATGGACTGTCCTACATCTGTCCATAGGAACTCACTGGGTGGACTGTCCTGCATCTGTCCATAGGAACTCACTGGGGTGGACTGTCCTGCATCTGCCCCAGGGGACTCACTGGGATGGACTGTCCTGCATCTGCCCCAGGGGACTCACTGGGATGGACTGTCCTGCATCTGTCCATGGGAACTCACTGGGGTGGACTGTCCTACATCTGTCCATGGGAACTCACTGGGTGGACTGTCCTGCATCTGTCCATAGGAACTCACTGGGGTGGACTGTCCTGCATCTGTCCATGGGAACTCACTGGGATGGACTGTCCTACATCTGTCCATAGGAACTCACTGGATGGACTGTCCTGCATCTGTCCATGGGAACTCACTGGGGTGGACTGTCCTGCATCTGCCCCAGGGGACTCACTGGGATGGACTGTCCTGCATCTGTCCATGGGAACTCACTGGGGTGGACTGTCCTACATCTGTCCATGGGAACTCACTGGGTGGACTGTCCTGCATCTGTCCATAGGAACTCACTGGGGTGGACTGTCCTGCATCTGTCCATGGGAACTCACTGGGATGGACTGTCCTACATCTGTCCATAGGAACTCACTGGGATGGACTGTCCTGCATCTGCCCCAGGGGACTCACTAGGATGGACTGTCCTGCATCTGCCCCAGGGGACTCACTGGGTGGACTGTCCTGCATCTGTCCATAGGAACTCACTGGGATGGACTGTCCTGCATCTGTCCATAGGAACTCACTGGGGTGGACTGTCCTACATCTGTCCATAGAAACTCACTGGGTGGACTGTCCTGCATCTGTCCATAGGAACTCACTGGGTGGACTGTCCTACATCTGTCCATAGGAACTCACTGGGTGGACTGTCCTGCATCTGTCCATAGGAACTCACTGGGTGGACTGTCCTGCATCTGTCCATAGGAACTCACTGGGATGGACTGTCCTGCATCTGTCCCAGGGGACTCACTGGGGTGGACTGTCCTGCATCTGTCCATAGGAACTCACTGGGATGGACTGTCCTACATCTGTCTACGGGAACTCACTGGGGTGGACTGTCCTGCATATGTCCATGGGAACTCACTGGGGTGGACTGTCCTACATCTGTCCACGGGAACTCACTGGGGTGGACTGTCCTGCATCTGTCCACGGGAACTCACTGGGGTGGACTGTCCTGCATCTGTCCATAGGAACTCACTGGGATGGACTGTCCTGCATCTGCCCCAGGGGACTCACTAGGATGGACTGTCCTGCATCTGCCCCAGGGGACTCACTGGGTGGACTGTCCTGCATCTGTCCATAGGAACTCACTGGGATGGACTGTCCTGCATCTGTCCATAGGAACTCACTGGGGTGGACTGTCCTACATCTGTCCATAGAAACTCACTGGGTGGACTGTCCTGCATCTGTCCATAGGAACTCACTGGGTGGACTGTCCTACATCTGTCCATAGGAACTCACTGGGTGGACTGTCCTGCATCTGTCCATAGGAACTCACTGGGTGGACTGTCCTGCATCTGTCCATAGGAACTCACTGGGATGGACTGTCCTGCATCTGTCCCAGGGGACTCACTGGGGTGGACTGTCCTGCATCTGTCCATAGGAACTCACTGGGATGGACTGTCCTACATCTGTCTACGGGAACTCACTGGGGTGGACTGTCCTGCATATGTCCATGGGAACTCACTGGGGTGGACTGTCCTACATCTGTCCACGGGAACTCACTGGGGTGGACTGTCCTGCATCTGTCCACGGGAACTCACTGGGGTGGACTGTCCTGCATCTGTCCATGGGAACTCACTGGGGTGGACTGTCCCGCATCTGTCCACGGGAACTCACTGGGGTGGACTGTCCTACATCTGTCCACGGGAACTCACTGGGGTGGACTGTCCTGCATCTGTCCACGGGAACTCACTGGGGTGGACTGTCCTGCATCTGTCCATGGGAACTCACTGGGGTGGACTGTCCCGCATCTGTCCACGGGAACTCACTGGGGTGGACTGTCCTACATCTGTCCACGGGAACTCACTGGAAGAAAATCTAGTTCTACCTACATACCCGATTGTTTTCTCAAGTGCATGACAGCAAACTGAAGCTTGGTGACTAGTGTGTGGATTAAGTGTGCAACACTTGAAGAGTGTTCAGTGACGCTGCTCTTCTTACAGATGCTTCTGCTAACGGAAGTCCCTGTGGCCCCACGCCTGTGACCTCACTGCAGCCCCCTGCACTTGGCTGTACAAAGTACGTGTAAACATGCTTCACACAGAAAGCCTGTGCATCTCTCCATGCCAAATGTCCGCCGCCTCAGGAAGCAGGAAAGGCCGGGTCAGAGGCTGCCTGACCCATGACCTGGAGAGACCTTGGCTCCATTACAGATTCTGTGTAGACCCTGTCACCTTTTTAGCCTGAGACATGCACTGCCTGCTTGCTTAACGGTCTGCTACAATGAAAACTCAGAATGTGGATTTTCTGCCATACAACAGAGCAGGAGCTGGTTGGCCCAAGAGGGAAGCTGGTCTCCACCATCGCTCGAGCAACTGTGCCGTCCGACTCCATTCTCCATGAAGCCCGGTGACAAGCCAGGATCACGGTGGATCATACCTGCCCCTGAGATTTAGGGAGGTATTTTGTACCTCCAGACATCCTGACAGACAGCTTCCAAGGTTAATGATAAATGCCAGAACATCTTAGAACAAATCTTAGTAAAGTATCATTGGAATGTACACTGCCAGTAGAAGGTAATTTACTAACAATCCAGGTAAACATACTGATACATAAGCTAACCTATGTAAAATAACTACAAGAGCTATAAATACACAGTAGTAACATTCACGCTGAATAAAGACATAATAAATAAAATCACGTCAAAAAGGGAATTATTTTTTCTGGTGAGAAAATGTCTGGCAGACAAGCTAGTGATAAACATTTTTTACCTGCAAGTTAACGTTGTGTAGGTTTGTGTATAGTTAATAGTAAAATAAAAACTAAACTGCTAGTGCTGCTATGTATATTACGGAAGCATCAAAATGCCTCCAGACAAAAGAAATCGAGTAAAGAAGCAGAGGCATGATGACAGGGGAAGAGAATGGGGCCCCTCCTAAAGCCCACCTCACACAGAACACCAACAAAACAACACCCACACCCTGCCATGAGGAAAACCTTCTAACCACAACCATAAGCCTTCTCGCCGCACCCCCAACCCCAAGGTAGAGAGAGCACTTAGAGTCAGGACAGAGCCCACTGTGTGAAGAAGAGCTGCTTCAAGGTATTGACACAGAAGCCACAGGGTCAGGATGGCTTGTCAGGCAGGACAAAGCCAGAGGACCCCTAGTGCCAGCTCACCTGAGACAGACGCAGAGAGACCGGCTCAGAGCAACCTGCCGCCGTTCACCGTTCCCTGTCCCCAAGCAGTACAGACAGGCCAACAATCTATAGGTCTTAATGAAAACACAGCCAGATCCTAGCGGCTCTCGCCTGTAATTCCACCTACTCAGGGGGCTTGAGATGAGATCGTACAATCAGTCTGAAGACAGTCCAGGCAGAAAAGCCAGTGAGACACTTATCTTCAGTTAATCAGCAGAAAGCTAGACATGGAGCTATGGTTAAAGTGGTAGAATGCTAAGCCCAAAAAAGGAAAGCTCAGAGATAGTTTCCAGCCCTGAGTAGTTCAAGCCCCAAGACAGTACCAGAAAGAAAAAAAAAAAAAAGAAAGAAAGAAAAAGAAAATACATTCAGCTGTAATTACACATGGCACCGTACCACCCAAAATCTTTAACACACAGCCTTGAGACACATCCCTTTTTATTATTGTCTAGAGCATGATAAGATAGCAACACTCATAAAGCAGTAGTAAAAATACATTAATAAAAGTATTTTAAGGCTGAGTGCCAGTGACTCACACTTGTAATCCTATTTAGACAGCTGAGATCTGAGAATCACATAGGAAGCCAGTTAGAGCAGGAAAGTCTGTGAGACTCTTATGTCCAATTAACCACCAAAAAGGCTGGAAGTGGAGCTGTGGCTCAAGTGGTAGAATACTAACTAGCCTTGAGTACAAAAGCTAGGGACAACACCTAATCCCTGAGTTCAAGCCCCATGACTGCCCTCCCACCAAAAAACCCCCAAACCCATAGCATTATTTACTTACAAGCATGATAACTGTTGCAAGCAACCTTGTGGTTTCAAACATCTTCTTCAGCTGCTTCACGGGTCCCATCAGAAAGCAAGTACTATGGGGAACAAATAAATAACCGAGAAGGGCTCTACGAATCCCTGAGTCTATGCAACAATAGACCGCCTTTCAACCAAGAAGCTATGCTGGTTTACTTAATAATCACAGCATTCTCGGCTTCCAGAATTATAAATAAATGTTGGTTCTTTATGAACTGCCCCATCTTGAGTACTGTGAAAGCAGTGGGCTGGGAGGCCCACTGTGGGCAGGGGTTCAGCTACAAGCTTGGGCTGGGGACCCACTGCCCAGCATTTTAGGAGGAAGCCTGTCCCCACCTGGCAGTATGGTACAGGGATGGCACCAGAAGCTACCTCTTGTGGGCCAGCCCAGCCCGGTGCACAGCGCCTACTGCCAGTGTAAGCACTCTGCCATGGTAACTGGCACACACAAGAGGCCAATCACTGTACAGAATGAACAAATTGCTGAATCGGCAAGATGTAAGGAGCAAGGTACTCATTAGAAGGCAAGTCTGGCAGCCAAAGAGATATACATACCTGGCTAATGCAGAAAGATTCCCAAGGGTGTAAAACACGGCAAAAAGCTTTATGTTGGGAAGCCACAGCAATCCAGTTCCCTAAATTAGACATTACAGACACAAGTAAGTTTGTATTGGCTACAAACACAAACGTGTTACTGCAGCAGCAATACACAGACTCTGTGAGAAGCGTGTTTAAATGCAGGTACATAGTAACATCAGTTACTTCCCAATGGTATGTACTAACTTGACTTTTTGCTAATTGGCAAGAATATACATAAATGAACTGCAACACAACTGTCTTTGTAAATCTTACTCCTTAAGTTAAATGTTCATTCTGACTGGCAAATTAAAACAGGCCATAAACACACCTATCTCTGCCTTGCATTCTCTTATCACACACTGGTTTTTAAAATAGAGTTATTTCAACCATTCCCCATATCCCCAAAGAACAATTTCTACACCTTTCTATTTATTTTATTATTTATTATCTATTTATTTGTTTGTTTTTTTGGTTGGTCGTGGGGCTTGAACTCTGGGCCTGAGCGCTGTCCCTGAGCTCTTCAGCTCAAGGCGAGCACTCTACCACTTGAGCCACAGGGCCACTTCCGGTTTTCTGGTAGTTAATTGGAGATAGAGTCTCCCGGACTTTCCTGCCCGGGCTGGAAAGGTTGATCCTCAGACCTCAGCCTCTTGAGTAGCTAGGATTATAGGTGTGAGCCACCAGCACCCGGCTTAATTTCTACATCTTTTTAAAAATCAGTCTCTACCCCTTTATGTCAGGTGGTATGTTCCATCAAAATAATCTAACAGCACGTTAAAGTAGACTGCTTTTTAGTACAGAATAGGATTAAATCTAATATAAAACAGAAATTTTGATCAACGTAAAGCCTTAACTCACAAGGATAGAAAAGAAAATGCCAGCCACGAAGCATATCACAAAACACTTCAATCTGGTGCTGAAACTCAGGGATGTGGAGTCCAGGACCTTAGGAAAGAGACGGACAATTGAGAATGTGTTCTTAACTCAGCACTGGAGAATCTGATTCTTCAAGCTCTGGTAAGGCAAGCTTTAGCTTAGCTTATATTCAATCTTTGTTCTGCACACAGCAGTGTCACTTCCTGGTTGTAGGGGCTTGTTGTGGCCTGGGTGTCAGGTGACACTGGAGGTTACTGACACTGTGAGGTCTCATCCTAGTACTGTGTGTGCTTCACACACACTCACTTGCTACCAGGCTTCACAGGATATGTGTGACATGGTACAGAGTGAAGGTCCCATGCACGCAGGCACACTGGCAGGCAACGGCTGCTGGCTGCTGGGGCTGGGCAGGGCACACAGGGCTCAGCAGACGCCCACAGCCTGGTGAGGGAAGCTGGAGAGAGGGGTGGGCGACACGGAGCAAGGACCTGGCTTGAACTGAAGTGAGTCTGAGTCTGCAGAGCTGGTGAGGCCCAGCGAACCAGGCCCTGAGGACCCTCCCTTCAGCCATGCACTGGACACAGGCTGGGACAGCGGGACGGCTGGACACAGGCTGGGAGAGCGGGACGGCTGGACACAGGCTGAGACAGTGGGACGTCTGGGCACAGGCTGGGACAGCGGGACGGATGGACACAGGCTGGGGACAGTGGGACGGCTGGACACAGGCTGGGACAGCGGGATGGCTGGACACAGGCTGGGACAGCAGGACGGATGGACACAGGCTGGGACAGTGGGACGGCTGGACACAGGCTGGGACAGCGGGACGGCTGGACACAGGCTGGGAGAGCGGGACGGCTGGACACAGGCTGAGACAGTGGGACGGCTGGACACAGGCTGGGACAGCGGGACGGATGGACACAGGCTGGGGACAGCGGGACTGCTGGACACAGGCTGGGACAGCGGGACGGCTGGACACAGGCTGGGACAGCGGGACGGCTGGGTGATGACCGGAAGCAGCAGCAGAAGACAGGACAGCTGGAGGAGGGGCCTGGACAGGAGCGCAGCACAGCTTCCAGTCTGAGCAGTTCATCTAAACCAACTCAAGGCGGGAGCTGGGTACTCCTCAACCATGGTAAAGACAGTGTTTGAAGTAATTTATGCTAGCACAGTATACAAATTCTAGCCACATTATGTAGGAAAAAGTACAACTCAAAATGCATGCTTTAAAATACAGTGAAGACTAAGTGGAAACGCTCAGATAACTAAGTGTGCTACTAGTGCATACTTGTCCCTTTTAGCCTAATGAGGCTAAAAACAAATCTATCAACAGCTGTTTGAAAAAAATCTGGAAATATACAAGGACTTCTATTCCCCAAATATACACTTAAAAAATAAAACCGCAAATGTGGGAAGAGTTAACAATGACCCCCCCTTTATAAATGATATAAGCCAATAAATAGATAAGACCACAAGCTTATGATATGCATTAGAAGAGAAACAGAAGGGGGGGGGTGCAAAAGCCTCAGGTGGCAACACCTTTGGTTCCACCACCTACCTGAGCAGCCAGCTTGGGTCCTTACGCAGCATGAAAAACAGACAGAATGTAAGTGCTCTAGCCGTAACACAGACCACTTGGAACATCTGTAAAACTGCTGGAATTCACCCATTCTGATTTCCAGTAATGTCAAAACTGATCATCTGGTTTAAAATATGGAATAAACTTTCCTATTACCTTGCCCATGTAATTTTAACCCCTCTGTACGGTATTTTCACAATAAATGAAAAAATTAAAAAATTAAAAAAAAAGACCTAAGTTGCCTGGCACAAGTAGTTCACGCCTGTGATCCTTGTCAGGAGGCTGAGGTCTAAGGATTGTGGTTCAAAGCCAGCCTAGCCAGGGAAGTCTGAGAGACTCTTATCTCCAATTAACCACCAGAAAACCCAAGTGGTACTGTGACTCAAAGTGGTAGAGTACTAGCCTTAAGGAGAAAAGCACAGGGACAACACCTAAGCCCTGAGTTTAAGCCCTAGGACCAGCGTGCACGCATACGCACACGTGTGCACACACACACACACAAAGACATAAGTTTTGTCAGAAATAATATACAGTATGTATACTTTAATAATATAGGACAAAATAAGCCCTAAAATTTTCATTCAGCACTTAATAAATGATCTGGTCCATTTTAAAAAACAGAACTGTTCATTAGCTTGATTTTGCTATTCTACAACCTCTATCTATAAAAACATTGTGCATCATAAAGTATGTGTCCAATTTTATTTGCAATTAAAAATGGAAGTGGCTCACCAGTGAACGGAAGTATACAATGATGAGACTGCCTTCACTTTTCCTTCCGCTACAAACCTAAATCACCCGATTGTTCCTAAGTTAAATGAATGGTGCCTTTTCAATAGAAAGTTTATTTCTTTCAGCAACAGAAGAGAATGGTTCTCCGTATAACAGGAGATCTTTCTCCTCCTATTTTGATCTTCCATGAGGTAACCTTAAAAAGGAAAGGTTATGACACATGATTTCCATTTGCACATAATCAATCTACCAACAGTCAACTTGTGCCCTGGGCACAGAAACAAATCACAGATATTCACGATTCCTAACTGAGAAAACTCTAGAATGCTTCCAAATGCAAGGAAGCCTAGACCAGACTGGCTGGCGGTCAAAACCCCTGACCTTCCAGGTCTGCCACCAAATGCGCCACTGCTTTTCCAGCAGGAGGAGGAAGCCAACCAACTGTTCATCTCTTAAGTTAGGTCTCAGAGTAAAAATACAGACACGTTAAATGACCACCTCCCCCCAAAAAAGAAAAAGCCAGAGGAAGAGCAAGTCCCTGGGGCAAGGTCACCCTCCACACCCTTTGAGCTTCTTCTGCCCTAGTGTAAGCCCCAGTGCCTGTCCAGGCCACGTGTGCACGCGCACAGACACACACACACGCACCACAGATGAATGAGGAGATCCACCTGGGCATGTCCATGAGCGGGCCCCAGGACCGCTGCAGTGCGCCAAGTGGAGCCCAGGCCACTGCCAGCAGGAGAAAGGATCAAATTAAATCCAGTATCCCCTCCTTCCCTTTTCAAGATAGTAGTAGCATACAGAAAGACAAAAACGCACGAAAGCCGTTCCACACTCACAGCCCCCTCTCCCTGCTCTCCCCTTCCCCTCCACCCTTCCCCGCTCCTCAGTCGTCACCTTCCTGCTTCTCCTGACCTCCACACACTGGAGACACTCAGAGGTCACATCTCTTCTACTTACACACAGCAGTCACTCCCACCGCCTGTGGACACAGCATCTGGACCAGGCATCTGAGTGATCCTCCCATATCCCACCATCCCGAGATTCACGCCCAACCCCAAGAAGGCAGCTTTCTGCTTCACAGGTTCAACCTGATAAGAACTCACCAGCCGGCTCTACCGTCAAGCCACTGACAGACCGGCCAGCTGTCTTGACATCACTGACTCACGCCGCCCATCAGGCACCTCGTACAGAACCACTGCACTGATCACCCGTTCAGCCTCTGCAATCCTACCCTTGCTCTGCAGGTTCTCTTCACAGAGCAGCCAGAGCAGTCCTTTAAGACCTAACTCAGTAGCACTTGTGTATACTTTTGCTGAATTTGGGAACAAAGATCCTCAAAAGTATTTTGCAAAAGTTAAAAGAAGTTATTTGGCACTGCAGCACTCATTGCTCAGTAGGAGTCGTGCTATACATAAGGAGCGTCACCAGACTTGAGAAAGGGCAAAGGGAATGGCGACTGCAATCGTTGAGTTGGTAATTAGAAAAACAAAGTGTTCACATGTTCCTTGTGGCTCATGTCTATAATCCTAGACACCCAGACTGAGATCTGAGGATCTCAGTTTGAAGCCAGCCCTAACTACCAAAAAATAAAAAAAGCTACAAGTGGAGCTGTAGCTCAATTAGCAGAGCATTAGCCTTGAGTAAATGAGCTAAGGGACAGTGTCCCTAGCCTGAGTGCCAAGACCCAGGACTGGACATGCGCACGAATGTGCGCGCGCACACACATGCATGCATGCACGTGCGCGCGCGCACACGCGCGCACACACACACACACACACACACACACACACACACACACAAAATGTAGATCACAGCCAGCTGTGGTGACACATCATAATCCTAGCCCAGTTTTATATAGCAAAACCCTGCTTCCAGAAAAAACAAAAAAAACAACCTAAATATGTATGTGTGTGTCTATGCTGAACAAATGGATGTATCTCATATATATTATATATGATAGAAATCTCAGCTACATTGATGGATTCAGTCTTCCAAATAATGTGGTTTGTAATTATGAAGTCTCTCTGATCTGTGACCAATTAATGAAGGTGTGTGTGTGTTTGGTTGCTGTTTTTTGGTAGTACTAGGGATTAAACTCATGCCCCCTGTTTGTAGGTAAGAGCTCTACTACCTAGATTATCCCCACTGCCCTATTCCCACCCACCCCCCTTTCTGTGTGCCCATCCGAGGCTTGAACTCAGGGCCTGGAGACTGCCTACAAGCTTCTGTGCTCAAGGATAATGCTACCACTTTGAGCCACAGTGCCATGTTAGGCTTTACATTCCTCAGATCTCAGCCTCCTGGGCAGCCAGGATTATGGGCATGACCACCGAAGCCCAGCTCCCACACCCTCTTCATAGGTTTCTTTTTTGGGGGTCCGGTTGTGGGGCCTGAACTCTGGTTCTGGGCGTTGTACCTCAGCTCAAGGCTAGCACTCTACCACTTGAGCCACAGCGCCACTTCCGGCTTTTTTTTTTTTTTCTTATGTGGTGCTGAGGAATCGAACCCAGGGCCTCAAGCATGCAAGGCAAGTGCTCTACCACTGAGCTACCTTCCCAGCCCTCTTCATAGGTTTCTTAAGAACAAGATGTCTGGAGTTGAAGGTATGTCTTACTATGACTAGTCATATGTGTTTAAGTGTAGGAACTAGAATGTGATCATATTAATGTAAAGCTCTGCAGTTTTGAGAACCACCACTATACTCAAAACTCAGGACAAGTCAGACACCGGTGACTCATGCCTGTAATCTTAGCTACTCAGCAGGCTGAGATCTGATGATCACAGTTCAAAGCCAGCTTGGGCAGGAAAAGCCATGAAACTCTTATCTCCAATAAACCACCAGAAAAAAAAAAACACGGAAGTGGCACCTTGGCTAAAATGGTAGAGCACTAGCCTTGAGCTGAAGAGCTGAGGGACAGCTCTCAGGCCCAGAGTTCAAGCCCCATGACTGACGACAAAAAAAAAAAAAAACAAAGAAACTCAGGACATTTCCTTCCACTCAGCAAAGACAGATGAAAACCCTTCCCCCAGCCTTCAAGACAGACAGCGCAGGATAGGAATTCAGCTTCCAAACTGACCAAGCTTCGCAGGCTGGACAGACACAGACAGACACACACACACACACACACACACACACCCTAGCTCCAGCCACCCTGGCCTCCTTGCCTAGCAGCCTTCTTTCCAGACTCTCAGGGCTCCTAGACCACTACATACAGTATAGTAACCCCAAGCTCTACAACCCAGCTCTAACTTTCCCGTGGCACTTTTCTCTAGACAAGTTATAGACTTGTTTATAAAGTAACTGGTCCCAGGGCTCAAATGTCAATTGTGTGATCTGCCCAATGAATGAATAATTATCCCAGGCAAAACCAGCCAGTCGCTCTGATCAGAGATAAAAGATTTCAGGAATCTTTCTCCTCTCAGGGCATTGAGTAGCCTGGCACATCACCTTCACATTCTCAAGGCCTAGAGTGACACCCGACAGCCCTTCCCACGGCGGAAATGACCCTCACAGGCACTGTCCCTGCAGTGGCTGCTGACAGCAGGAAGACTCAACACTTAGAATATGGGCCGTAGGACTAAGAAACTAAACATTTAAATTGAACTTAAATTAAGGTCACCTGTGGTCATGGCTGGTGCAATGTAAAACACAGATCGACAGCATAACATGGAGCACAAAATAACCACTAATAAAATGTCACTGGCTGAATGTCTGACGGCTGAGACTCGCAGCTTTCTGTGTTAATATTACAAGTCATAGATTTCATCACAAGTAAACACTTGTCAAAAGGCTACCGGTGAGAAGTGCTGATTATAATGCAAAGAAGGAAGTCAGGAAAGTGAAGGAGGAGGGCAAATAAAACCCCCTCTGGGGATGCAACTCAATCTTCAGGGTGGTGTCTGACACATGCATATAATAAAAATGAAACCCTTACGAAGCAGTTCTTGCTCCACTCCTATTTCCAAGAGGAAGTAACCTTATCGAGTCTTGGGCAAAGTGCAAGCACAGGAGTAGAAGCTATTTTTATTAATTTTTATTTTTTGGGGGGGTCCAGTCGTGGGGCTTGTACTCTGAGCCTGGGCGCTGTCCCTCAGCTCTTCAGCTCAAGGCTGAGCTCTTCAGCTCTACCACTTGAGCCACAGCGCCACTTCTGGCTTTTTTCTTTTTGCTTATGTGGTGCTGAGGAATCGAACCCAGGACCTCATGCATGCGAGGCAAGTGCTCTACCACGGAGCCACCTGCCCAGCCCGCCGCACAACTTTTCATTACGTTAACCCTTCACCGCATGTCCTCCCGGGGTCTCCAGGGGGAAGGCCGGCCACGCACCCGGTGCAAGAACTGGTCCTCGGCAGCAGGTATGACGGTGGCAGACGCACGCGCGCAAGCGACACCCCGCGGGCGGCAGGTCTGCACCGCCAAGGTGCAGGCCAGTCCTGAGAGCCCAGAGCCGGCGCCCCGCCCCGCGCCCCCGCGCCCCGCGCCCCCGCGCCCCGCGCCCCCGCGCCCCGCGCCCCCGCGCCCCGCGCCCCCCGCGCCCCGCGCCCCCGCGCCCCGCGCCCCCGCGCCCCGCGCCCCCGCGCCCCGCGCCCCCGCGCCCCGCGCCCCCCGCGCCCCCCCCCCCCCCCCCCGCGCCCCGCTCCCCCCCCCGCGCCCCGCCCCGCAGCGCTCCCCCGCGCCGCGCCCCGCCCCGCAGCGCTCCCCCGCGCCCCGCCCCCGCCCCGCAGCGCTCCCCCGCGCCCCGCCCCGCCCCGCAGCGCTCCCCCGCGCCGCGCCCCGCCCCTCTCCCCCGCGCCCCGCCCCGCTCCCCGCCCCGCCGCGCCCCGCCCCGCCGCGCCCCGCTCCCCCGCGCCCCGCCCCGCCCCGCCGCGCCCCTCTCCCCCCGCGCCCCGCCCCCCGCCCCGCCGCTCCCCGCCCCGCCCCGCCGCGCCCCGCTCCCCCGCGCCCCGCCCCGCCCCGCAGCGCCCCACGCGTCACCGGGCGGAGGACGCGGCGCGGCCTCGGGGCCTGGGCTCCGCAGCGCTGACCGGCCGCGGGGCCCGGAGACTGGGGCTCCCGGACGACCCGCAGCGCCCGGCCCCCCACGCCCGTCCTTCCCGCCAGCCCTCGGCCCCGGCTCGCTACCTGCGCGGTCAGGCCCAGCTCCTCGTCGTCCTGGCCGCTCAGGACCCGCCGAAGCTTCTCCATGGCCCCGTCCGCGGGCCGCCCCGCCGGCCGCTCGCCCGCCGGCCGCTCGCGCCCACCCGGAAGCCCGGAGCGCGAACCTTGGCGCTCAGACCGGAAGTCCGGGGCCGCTACTTCCGGCGCGCGCGACGGCTTCTACCCACCCCCTCCCTCGGGCCGCCGGGCGCGGAGAGATGGAAACGGAGCCGCCCGGGCCCCGCCCCGCCCCGCGCCGCAGCCCGCACAGCGAGGGTCCGCGCTTCCGGTTAGTGCAGCCGCGCATGCGCTCCGGGCACGAGCGCTTCGGTGGTGCCCTAACTCCAGTAACGGCTGGAGCGCCTCCGGGGGTGGGTGGCCCACGCGAGCGGCCGGGCCGGCCAGCGCGGCGGGGCGGAGGCGCGGCGGGGCGGAGGCGCGGCGGGCGGAGGCGCGCGGCCGCCCCTGGCGGTCGGAAGGCCGAGTTGACGCACGCGCACGGGAACATACACGGACGTGTCACCGCGGTCCACACGTGCGCGCGTGCGCGTGCGCGCGCGGCGCTGGGAACAGGGCCTTGCAGCCCCGCCCGAGCCACCTCACCGGCCCTTCTCTTTGTGTTCTTGAAATAAGGCCTTGCAGACGTTGCCCCCACCGGCCTCAAACTCATCCCACTTCTGCTTCCTTGAGTAACTGTGACTTCGGTGTGCACCACTGTGCATTGTGCGCCCATTAATATTATACGAGCCCAGAACACAAGTCACGGAATAGGATTCCTAAAGCGTTACAGAAGTGAAGCGCTAATTTTAAGGCACATCTCTCCCTCCCCTTTCCGTAACTCTTAAGGTCACGTTCACCTGCCCCCGGTCCTGTATTCAGAACTGCAGTGTCCCTAAATGCAGGTACCTAGCAAACTATCACTGTATGGGATAATAACAAGAATTACAACAAAGAATGTTGTGTGGGCCTTTTATACTTCTCGTACCCTAAAAGCCAAACTTGGGATTTCCTCAAAAATACTTCACTCAGGTTATTGGAGACTTAATCCTCCTGGAGATAGGAAGTGTTTGGGGCTCAGACTCTGGAGCTGGAACCTAGTTTTGTCCTGGGACAAGTCTGCCTCAACTTCCACTTCATTTGAATGTTTATGTGTGAAAACACAGTTCCTCCATGGCAGACCTGTTTGAGGACCAAATGTGATGATAGCCTGCAGGCAAGCCTCTCCTTATTTACAGGTTCTGTGTTTACAAATGCACCCCCCCCCACACACACACACTAAAATTTGCCCGAGTCAGTCTGGCACTTCAAGGTCATCTGAGGGCTAGAACAGTTAGGCTCTTACACGTGGTGGTTGAAAGATGCATGCCTTTGGTTGTCCACAGGGAGGCTTATGGCCTGGCAGCTGGTTTCTATTAGAATGAGCAAGCAGAAATAGAGCAAGGTGCTAGCCAGTAGTTCTGCAAGCTTAGTTCAGAAGTAACATATCACTGTCACCATTCACTTCAGGTGAGTCATGGTCTGGAGCCACTTCGGGGCGGTGGGCAGGTGGTGGTGATGGTGGGGAATCACACAGTATGAATGTGGAGAGGGAAAGGGCTTGGGCCATTCATGGGCTACCTGCCACAGGGGTGCTGCCTGGTTGTCAGCAGTGTCTTCCTGAGGCAGGATCAATCTGGTGTATGAGTACAGTGTCTAGGGGCTTGGCTAATGTTTCTTGCACTGAGTATGCTCGGGAAGGTTGAAGGAGGATACAGTGCTATTCTGCATAGGACTTCAGGCAGAGGAAGGCTTCAGATCCATCATGTCCATACACAACCACAGCTCTTTTAATTTACAGGTTCATTTGACCTCAGAGGTTAGTGGTTTTTCTAGGCTCAGCAGTCAGTCCTGGGCCTTTTTACTTCCTCCAAAGTTAGGGAATCCTCTAGTTGTCAGAGTGACTGTTACCCTTTTCATGAACTTCCACAGCACTTTTAACAGTTGCTGGCAGAGAGCTTCTAAAAAGGTCTTAGAATAAAGCCAATCAAAGGTTTAAAACAGAGGAATCATGAGATAAAAACGTGACAAAAATATTTTTGAGAAAATTGATCATTAATTTTCTAATAAGTACAAAGTTCCAGGAAAATCCCATTATTCAAACATTACATCAAACTTGTTTTTGTATCAGTGGATGTCCTGTGCCAACTCTCTACCATGAAACTTACACTTCCTCAGACCTTCCACAACTCTAGTGTGGCCCTCACCTCTCTTCCTCTTTGGCACCAGTGGTTCTTTTGAGGCAGTTTACTTCCTCCTCCTCAGCACTGCCCTCACCCCAAGCAGCAAACGAGGAGGTGGGATAGAAGAGGAAAGAAGCAGCAAAAGTGAGGCTTCAGCTCAGAGCTAGTCTGTAGGCATTTGACCTGGAGGGAGGTCTTCTTTGCTAGCCTGTGTGCCTCTAAATGCTGTTGCAAACAAGCCTCTCATTTGTACAAATTATGTGTGCAAATAAACTCATGTGGGCAGAGTAAAGGTTCTCACCAAGGCAGTCTTACCTTTCCTGGGCTATTTGGCTCATTTACAATCAGTGATAGAGAAGGAGTCCCAGGTGTTTGGTGCATGTGTGGGGCTGCCAGGCTTCCAGAGGCTGCTCTGTGGCACTGCTTTAGAAACACATTCTCTGGGGCTGAAGAAGCCCGGCACTGAGGCGAGGTGTGATGCCATCCCCATCAGGCCAGGGTGTTGTCCTGGGATAGAACCACACCTCAGCAGCTGGCAAGGAAGTTCTCCACCGCTACACTTTGAAGGAAGGGCATTTAGTTGTGGTCTGCGTTTTGACTTTGAATAAAGATTTCAAACAAGTTCCTCAAGAGCTCAGGTATGCATGTAATTAAAGTCCCCCACAGGAAAATTAAACACAGATTCATTTGAGACCAAAAGAAAGTCCACTTTGCTGAGTGTAATGGCTCATGCCTGGAATCCCAGCTTAATTGAAAAATGGGATCAAGAGGTTAAGGCCAGCCCAGACAAAAAGTGAGACTCATGTAACCATCAAGCCAGACATGTTGCACTCACCTAGCATCCCAGCTGTTCAGGACACATCTCCTAAGGACAAAATTATAAGACATCCAAACATATTTATCTGTGTTACTGTCTGGGGTAATAGTTATTACTCTAAACCTTTTTCTAGGGTAAAGCCAGGGAGAATAAAATGCCTGTTTTTAAAAAAATTGATGTCATTTGGTTTAAGAGGAAGGGGTTCAATGATAAAGCCAGAGATTAAGCAGAAACATCCAGAGGAACTGTGCTTTATTCTTGAAAAGCACTGAAAGGGCCAAAAGCAGAGTCCTGTGGAGCAGACATGTGCAGGGTGGCTGCGACCCATGGAGCTGGGTGCGCTGGGTGGCTGTGCCTGGCAGACCAACATGCACATCCCTCACAGCCTGAGCTCCTTGGTGGGGGTCTCCTCTGAGCCTTGGGCAGTGGAGTAGGGAGATGAGGGGGCATCTTGTGTCAGAGAACGTGGAAGTTCTCCAACATCAGTGGGATCTGGGCAAAGGTTATCTGGCCAAAGGCATGACATTTGACCAACTCCCGAGTAAGCTCAAGAAGCAAACTTCCATAGCATCATCTTATCCCTATGAAAACTCATGAGTCCATCAATCATGCTCAATGTAGAAAAATATTCAAAATAATGACTATAACTGAAACGGCACCAGATCCATAACTTAGTTGGATAGAAAAATATTGAATAGAGCCTTTAAGTAGGCCCGCGTTTGTAAGCTGGTTCCGTGAATGGAGCAGAAGCCACCACTGAGCCAGCCCTGATAGAAGGCGTTACAGGGGTGGCCTGAGATGTACCACCCTCTCTGAGTACCAGAAACAGACAAATGAAGTTCTGTGCCTGCAGGCGAACAAATATTGGCCAACTACAAGTCAACAGTCAGGTAGATTTTACCTGTGGCAAGCTTTCACAAGGAAGAGGTCTGGGACTACTCTTTATGCAATCACCAAAGCCAAAACAGAACCTTGGGAGCCTAGGCTTCTAAACTGGCTCAAGTCACTTCTCAGGAGTCCTCCTCAGGGTAAAACCAGGACTGCGATATTCAGCCTCTCCAGACATTTCAGGAGGCATCAGGCTCTCAGTCGGGAAATGCCAGGATTGACATCAGAGCTGTGCTGCCTTTGCTTGTGATGGTGCAGTCTTTTAAGACTTTAAAACAGAAGTCATTATTTTTGTGGCTACTGTCTTCCCAATGATCTGATAAAACGTCAGTGTCCCCAGGTACTTGCCCACTTGTGCTTATTTTCTCATTACTGTCTGTAAATTCTGCATAATAAATAAGAAGGCAAGAATATTAAAAGACAGAAACAAATCATTGCACTTGGCCTTAGAGAGGCAGCGTTGCATTAGGACAACACTTACTAGGAATAAGGCTGAGAAACCTTAGGGAAGGGGCTCTGGGCCAGCTGCAGATCAGAGAATTACAAAACAAGAGCCCACTGATTTTTCCTCCTTCCCACCGGCGGCAGGTGTGGCTGCCTGGAGAGGCCCCGTGCGCAGGCGTGTGCGCCCGGGCCAGGCCTCACCAGGCAGCCTCAGCATGCTGGTTTGTACGAGAAGGCTTCTCATCAGCACCTCTGCCCCCAAGGAAATGCCTGTCAGGGAAGCTGCAGGCACACACACCAACTGGGCCTGGAGCCCTGACCACTGGTACTGGGGGCATCCTAGAAGTTAGCCTCAGTTCATTGCAGTCTTCACACTGTTTGTTATTGGAATGAACTTACTCCTTACCTTTAAAATGACTTGGGGGTGATTTAAAAATTCAAATATACACTGATGGGCTTATAAAGCAAACAGGTTTCCATCATGCTGACCCTTGGTTTGTAGTTTCTACTCCAGCCATCACTACTTCAACCCCAACCCTCTTGTAATGGGATTACACTGCCCTTAGTGAGCTCCAAAAACACAGAAAATAGTAAGGAAATAGTAAGGCAAGACAGTAACTAAGCACTGGGACCAGTGTTTTCTAGTCCTTGGGATTAAGCCACTGCTCTCTTGAGTCAGACCAGTTCATTGGGCATTGCTAATCAAAAGCAATCAAGGACAGAAAAATACCAAAGCCAGCCCCGGGGAGCTGCTAACTCTTTGCCATGCTCATACTCAGTACACAAACCAGAGGGACAGAAACTGGCATAAGGTTTGAAAGGAAGGGAAAGATTCACAACCCTAAAGCCTGACTGACTAGTGTGGGGAGAAGGGGAGTTGGGGGGAGAAGTCAGCTGGGCAGAGAAGCCCAGGAGGCCACTGCTGTGCCATTCTGTGTCCTACATGTGAGAAGTAACTAAAGGAGAGAAAACAGTACAACTCAACAGACACCCATGGCTCCTCTTGGCTCCTCCACTACGGTCTCTACCTTCCGTGGCTGTGGAACATGAGCCTCTGGGAGCCGCGTGTGGGCACCACTCCTGCCAGTCTGCTTGGCCACAGCCCCAGATGCAATTTGGCAGGCAAGGAGGGAGTCAAGGGCTGGCCGGGCCCGCAGAGTCTGTGCCCCACGCCTCCCGCTATAGAAGGGCTGCTTGCTTCACAAGACCTTTGAAAGAGAGAAGACATGTGTGACGGGGCACAAGCATTCTGACAGTGGGGCTATGGAGGTTTCCAGAAGAATCTGCCCCTCCACCCAGCTCACTTCCTCTAGTCACTAGTTCTGTTTTTCACTTGTCAGCGAATTTTGCAATTTCCTAACAACTATAGCAAGATATTTAGCCTTAAATAAATATTTAAGTCATTTATTGCCTTTAAGTTACAGCATCTCAGTGTACACACTGCATGAATAAGAAGGTACTTCTCAACATGGAAGTCAGATTTTAGGTATATGGCCAGCTGTTGGGTGTCTAGGGTCACTGAAGCCAAGAATTCCGAGTACCCAAAGTGTTAGTACTTACACAGTTTTGTTTTTGTTGATGTCTATTAAGCAAATCCCAAGAGAAGTATACATATAGTACTCATGAAATCCTCATCAGGCATGATTAAGTCAGCTCCCTTTTTGGAGCTGAAGAGAAATAAAGCATTCAGCACTGGGAAGGCAGAAGAGTGGGGGTGAGGGAGTCTCCACCACCTCTACACGATGGTGTGAGAGAGCAGGAGTTGGGCACTTTCCCCTTGGCAAGGCCATTCCCGTGGAGGGGATCGGTGACACGCAGTGGGGGCTGGGTGCTGTCCGGCAAGAGCAGTTCCATGGTTATGCAGAGGCCTTTTGACCCATCCTGGAAAAGTTCAGAGAAACTGTTGAGAAACAAAATTCCACTGTGTCTTGTGGAAGACACTATGATGCAACTTTTTTTGTGCCAATCATGGGACTTGTACACAAGACCTTGGCGCTGCCTCAAGCTTTTCTTTTTGCTCAAGACTAGCACTCTACCAGTTAAGCCACAGCTCTACTTGTGGCTTCTTCACGTTTAGTTTGAGATAAAAGTTTCGTGAACTTTCCTGCCTCGGCTTCCTGAGTTAGCTACGCTTGTAGGTACAACCACCAGCTCCTGGCTGGTCATGAACCATTTGTTTCACTTTTGATTTTATACAAATGGTTAAGGTCCTGCCTCCTATTAACTACCATGCTGAAAAAACCCAGTTTCCACGGGTGCTCACACTGCAGCTCCCTCCGCCACGTAAGCCGTCTCAGCTTCTCACCAATTCCTCCACACAAAGCAATGGAATTATTATTATTATTTTGGGAGGGGTCCGGTCGTGGGGCCTGAACTCTGGGCCTGGGCGCTGTCCCTCAGCTCTTCAGCTCAAGGCTAGCACTGTACCACTTGAGCCACAGCCCCACTTCTGGCTTTTTTCTTTTTTCTTATGTGGTGCTGAGGAATCGAACCCAGGGCCTCATGCATGCAAGGCAAGCGCTCTACCACTGAGCCACCTTCCCAGCCCCCAAGCAATAGAATTCTGCTCACTGGTATTGGATGAGCCGTCCTCCCTGGATGAGCTGGGCCACCTCATTGGTGGCGTGGCACGCAAACAGCAGCCAGTTTCGAGGCTGAACCTTATAGGCAAATCTCATGAACGTCAGAGAATAACAACAGAGCGCTGCGGAAAAAATACCAAATCAGACAGGTGAGGATCCAGGGAACGCGGGCTAATGGTCCACTGTAAAGATGGAGCCTCTTGTGCCAGACCCTGGCACATGACAAGAGGCTCTGCCTACGCCTCTGACAGCGGCAAGCCACGGAAACCCTTCTTACCACGTGTGGGCACAATGTGAACAGGAATATTCTGGCCAGTTTTTCCCCCTCCCCCCTCCCCCCTCCTTCGAGTTACTTACAACCTGTTCTCTGAAAGAAGTTCTGTTTATCCCTTCAGCATTGGTTTTAGGTTCAAATGTTGGGGTTTCAAGTACACCTGATAGGTTTCCAAGTCAAGTTTTGAATAGAAATGTCAGGCTGTCCTTGAGACTGATTCAGACCACCCTTTTTTACAGAGGAGTGCACTAAGTTTGGAAGGTACCAATTGCTATCAACTACTTCAATCCCGATTCTACTCACCACAGAGAGGGCGCTCCTCAGCACCACTCTCTTCTTTAAGTGACATAGCAACTAAAGCATCGGTTTCTACCAACTGCCACGCCCACAGGAGTCTCCACCTGCGTGGCCTCCTCCCGTTACCCCAGCTGTGTCCTCACCAAATGTCATCCGCCCGCTGATGATGTCTGGAGACTTCTTCATGTCGTTGATGGCGGCAATGGGGAGACCCCAGTTGGCTACTGGGCCCCAGAAGTGCTACAGCGAGGGGCAGGGAGAGAGAGGAGGAAAAGTCAGGTAGAGGATGGGCAGCTGCCACTCCTTTCCCTTAAACAGTATGAATATGGGAAATGAACCTTCATGTGCACAGACTGCAGGTTTGGTAGCTTAAGTTTTGGATGGTTTTCACAAGTGAGCCAGCAGTCCAACATCTTCTGACACAATTCTCTCTTGCTTGGTTTAAACCTTGTTAGACTTATCCTCCATAATGCATTTAAATCTAGCAACAGTATTTTTTCAAGTTTTCATTAAGTTGGTGATTAATAACTCAAAATGTAGACCTAATTTGGATATTTTCTGGAGCAAGTAATTTAGTAAATTATTTTTGCTCAGAGGAATTATTACATTATGATTAGAGGACTTGGAAATCTGAGCCAGGATCGCAGATGATGAGAAATTAAGATTGGAAAATATTTTTGAAAGGCAAAACCTGATAGTAAAGATATGGACCAACAGTTTTTCATTACACAACTACCCCCATAGTAACTTATCAAGATAAAGCTGTATTTGAAGAGCAACTATGTCCATTTTCATTTAACTGCTAAAATGAAATAAGGCTAATGGCTTGTCCATTAGATCAAAATTGTTTCTTTATTTAGTTTGCAAATATTTTAAAATTAGAAGGAATCTCCGCATTGTTGACTAAATGCCCATTTTAGTCATGAGAACTCTAGCCACTGAAAATGGCTGACACTGGATGTCTTCCAACAGTGTTTAACATAGATCCAGACTCTGGATTTATTGAAATGTATTTTGAGACTTGCTTTTTCTATTATTGACTGGGGTTCATTAAAGCCTGTTTAAAAATACTGAGAAGTGGAAACACAAGAAAAGTAAATGATAATTAAATTTGGCATGAAGTAAAAATTTTTGAAATGTTTGTTTGACATGCTTCAATATAAGCCAGGAGGCCCAAGATTTAAACACCTCTACCAGTATTTAGCCAGCACAGTGAAGGCCTTTGAGAGTCACACTGGCTATTATCTGAGTTACATAATTAGCCAAGGAAGGCCTTCATTCCTTTTATTTCAATGAGATATGGCCCTTTTTTCTTATTCCTCAGATCTCTGTAAGAAGAGCACCTATGATTTTTTTCTGCTCACCCTATGATGGTCACCTCCCTTTTCTCCTCTGTGTTTCCATAGTGAACTCCCCTCCTCTGCTTTACCTCCCTAATTTAATCTCAGATCCTACTCTGCATGGTGGTCTCCATATACAGACCCGTCCCAGAGCACGAGGCGCATGCATCAACACAGGTTTATCTAGCACCAGGTTCACACGGTCTTCCTGCAGTGGTGACAGGCAGTGGCACTGAGCCTGGAATGGACAGAAACACTGTGCTCACCGTGCTGTGTCGTCAGGAAGCACCAGGGATCACAGAGGTTCCGATCCAGAGACATAGGGGAAGAAAAAAGACCATCAGAGGCTTCCAGTGGCTCTTAGCACTCACCACTCATGGTCCACTAGCAGACCTCAGCACTGGTCAGGGACATTTTGAAAGTTTCAAATATCACATCTAATAGCAACTTTGACCTAAGGAAATTAAATCTTAATTCTATTGAAAATAACCTTCATCTTTTTTTGGGGGGGGGGAGGGGAGGGTCCAGTCGTGGGGCCTGAACTCTGGGCCTGAGCACTGTCCCTCAGCTCTTCAGCTCAAGGCTAGCGCTCTACCACTTGAGCCACAGGCCCACTTCCGGCTTTTTTCTTTTTGCTTATGTGGTGCTGAGGAATGGAACCCAGGGCCTCATGCATGCAAGGCAAGCACTCTACCACTGAGCCACCTTCCCGGCCCCCCAAGCTTCATCTTTTAAAACAGAGGTATCCAGTAAAAATATAAAGCCACACACACACACTCGACAACTGGGTATAGTGCGCCACACGTATAATCCCCAGCGCTCAGGCGTTGGGAGCTGAGGAAAAGATTGTTTGAGGCCAGCCTGGGCTACATAACAAGTTCCAGACCAGCATATGACAAACAAACAACAAGAAAAATATCTCACAAGTCATGTGGGATTTTAGAATTTGTACAAGTCACACTGAGAATAATAAAGAAGTATCAGGGGCTGGGAAGGTAGAGTGCTTGCCTTGCAAGCATGAGGCCCTGGGTTCAATTCCTTAGCACCACATAAGCAGAAAAAGCTGGAAGTGGTGCTGTGGCTCAAGTGGTAAAGCACTCGCCTTGAGCTGAAGAGCTGAGGGACAGCGCCCAGGCCCAGAGTTCAAGCCCCATGATCAGCAAAAAAAAAAAAAAAAGCATTAAATTTATAATAGGTCAAAATGTTTTAATTTGAACACACAATGAAAGCAATTGCACATCTTTAGTTATCTGCACTGATTCTCACACCCTGCACTCTCAGATGGAGCTGTGCCCTGTGGCTCTTCGGCTGATAGCAAGACCTTGCGGGGAATCCTTCTTGGCAAATGCCAAGTTGGAGAGGCACAGGCTGCTGGATTTTAATAATGATGGGCTGGTTAAGCCTGAGAGGTGTGTTACTTCTGTTTTTTCTGTGTCTCTTCTGTGTTACTTGTCTCTTCTGTGTCTCCTCGTGTCTCTTATTACTTCTGAACTCCCTACAGTGGTACTTGGTATCTACAGTAACGGTTGAATGAGTTATGAGAGCTTTCAATGCTTTCTTCCTGAATGTTAAATGTCTGATTAAAAACAAACAAAGGGGCTGGGAATGTGGCTTAGTGGTAGAGTGCTTGCCTAGCATGCATGATGCCCTGGATTCCATTCCTCAGTGTCACATAAACAGAAAAAGCTGGGAGGGGTGCTGTGGCTCAAGTAGTAGAGTGCTAGCCTTGAGCAAAAGAAGCTCAGGGACAGTACCCAGGCCCCGAGTTCAAGTCCCAGGACTGGCAAACAAACACTGAGGAGCTGGCACATATACAAACCAAGCTACTTAGGAGGCTGAGATCTAAGGATCACAGTTCACAGCCAGCCAGAGCAGGAGAGTCCATGAGACTCTTATCTGCAATAAACTTCTAAAAAATATCTGAAATGGAGCTGTAGTTCAAGTTATAGAGTACTGGCCTTGAGCAAAAGAAGCTCAGGGGCAGTACCTAGGCCCTGAGTTCAAGCTCCAGGACTGGCACATACGCATGTGTACACACACACATACACGTATGCACACACACGTACACGTACATACGTATACACACATACACACACACACACACACACACACACACGCACAGAAGCCAGGTGCTGATGACTCACACCTGTATTCCTAGGTATTCAGGAGGCTGAGATCTGAGGATCATAATTAGAACCCAGCCTGGGCAGGAATATCCACAAGGCTTATCTCCAACCAGCAAAAGGCTGTAAGTTGAGCTATGGCCCAAGTGGTACAGTGGCAGCTAACAGACAGTGCCCAGGTCTTGAGTTCAAGCCCCTAATCCAAGCACATACACCAAACAAATAAAAAAAAAAAAGCACTGCATGATCTAGGTTCTACTTTAAGAAAACATCCTTGCATGTATACCAAATAAGTGTGTGGATACATGTGTACATTTACCTCTATTCTAACAAACTTGATTAACTCAGTTCTTAAGACCTACCTCAAAACTGTATTGTTCATTCAAATTTAATCTTCCTAATCAAAAGTCCAAGAGGAAGAACAAGAAGAAAGTCAGAGGGAAAAAAAGCTATTTTGTTAGTGATTCACAATAGGAAAGTTTTTTTTTTTTTGTTTTGTTTTTTAAGAAAAAGAGGGCTGGGCATTTGGACAAGAAGAAAGCTTGAGACACCAAAACCCAAGTGTCAGTTTGGGGTCTAAGGAGAATGCTAATGCCTTCAGCAATGGTTTCAGACACTCTTGTTCACCTTCTTTGCCCGCATCTCCTTGCTCGGTCGTTTCCCACACCCTGTGTGCAGCCTGACCATCTCCCGCCCTGTAACTTTAGACCACTGAAAGTCTAGCGACGCTGCAGGTGGACAGGACCAGCCCTGACAGTCTCGATACCTTGATAGTCTAGTTTACAGAATTCCTTACTGTCATTTCATTTCATTTTGACCAGCTAAGTGCCAGGCCAAATTACTCTTTGTTTTTTGTTGGTAGTGGTGATTGTGGGGCTTGAATTTGGGGCCCAGGCACTGACTGAGTTCTTTTGCTCAAGGTTAGCGCTCTATCACTTTGAGCCACAGCTCACATTTGGTTTTCTGGAGGTTAATTGGAGATAAGAGTCTCACAGACTTTCCTGATGGGAATGACCTTGAACCGTGATGCTCAGATCTCAGCCTCCTCCAGAGCTGGGATTGCACGAGCCACTACTGTCAGGCAAGAGTCTGACTTCCTTTTTTTTTTTTTTGGGTCCGGTCGTGGGGCCTGAACTGTGGGCCTGGGCGCTGTCCCTCAGCTCTTCAGCTCAAGGTTAGTACTCTACCACTTGAACCACAGCGCCACTTCTGGTTTTTTTTTTTTTTTTTTTTTGCTTATGTGGTGCTGAGGAATTGAACCCAGGGCCTCCTGCATGCAAGGCAAGCACTCTACAACGGAGCCACCTTCCCAGCCCAAGAGTCTGACTTCTTAACCTACTCTTCAGTGAAAACCAAAAACAAAACCCCTGAACAACCATCATTTAAAACCCAAGCAGTAATCTACTTCAGCAAGAAAAATTGTCTTACTCATAAAATGATTGAAAAAAGTTTATATGAATTATGTCAATTATTTTTCAGCACAGTTGCTGAAAAACTAAGCAAACTTATTATTTAATTCTGGAAGCACTTTAGTGTGGGAAATCTTCACTCTCCTATAGGCGGTAAAGCAATGCAATGCATTGCAGGTGCGCAAGATGTATGAGCTAGTGATGAGGAGAAAGAAAGACTAGAAACTTTTTCTTTTTCTAAGGGAGGAAAATGTTGACATTAAGAGCTTCCAGGAAGTTCTAATGCCTGCCTACAATGTGGCCTCAAACACTGTGTGACAGCCCAATTGTGAGATCCTGCTGATGTCAAGAATGGCAGAGAAAACAAGGCTCATGTCACAACCCTGTGCACCTCACACTTAAGATGTTAACTTTCTTTGTAACAGTGAGCCTTTACGTGTTTCTGCTCTCAGGAAGCTGAAGGCTAAGGATCACAGTTCAAACCCAGCCCAGGCAGAAAAGTTCCCATGAGATTCTCCTATCTCCAATTAAACACTCAAAAGCCAGAAGTGGTGCTGTGGCTCAAGTGGTAGAGTTCTAGCCTGAGCACAGAGAGGCTCAGGGACAGTGCCCAGGCCTTGAGTTCGAACTCAGGGCAACTGACACACAAAAAAAGCTTCTGCTTACAAAAGCCAAAACAGAAGGGTAGATTAGACATACCATGATTTGGCATTTGCAAGTATTTCCACATCCCCATGTAATTTCATTTTTAGCTTTCTGGACACTCCAACAACAGAGACTACTGTCATTTTACAGGCAACTAAAGCCTGTTGGGAGTGACTTGCTGGGGCCCTAACTGGGAAGTTATTCTTCTAGTCCTATTCTGCTGTCTCTGAGCTTTCCCAGCACCATCTTCCCTTCTTTTCCTTAGTTAACCAAGTGTAATTCCATTAACATGGGAGAAAGCAAGTATAAAAATGTTTGAGAACCAGGTGCCAGCGGCTCATGCCTCCTATAATAATCCTACCTACTCAGAAGTCTGAGATCTGAAGATCTTGGTTAGACGCCAACCTGGATGGAAAAATTTGTGACCATCTCCACTAAACTACTATCCCCCCAACAACAACAACCAGAAGTGGAGCTGTGGCTCAAGTGGTAGAGTGCTCGCCTTGAGCAAAATAGCAAAATAAGCTCAGGGACAGTGCCCAAGCCTTTAGTTCAAGCCCCAGGACTGACACCAAAACAAATAAATAAATGGAAAAACAAGTGTCATAAGAGGTTAATTTTCTTAATCTTGAAAGGAAAAGGTTGGACGACGTAGTCTGTTAAATACATTAAAATAGAAGAGAACGGGGTGCATCTCTGTATTCTCCCTGTAGGAGAGGCCAGTCGGGTGTCACTGGGGTCCTGGCCAGGCCCCGAGAGCCCTTCTTTCGGAAGGGCGGGAGGGGCGCTGCGCGTCCTCCTCTGATGGCTTAGGGAGCCGACGCTAGCCTCACAGCCGGCCGAGTCCTGCCCTTAGCCCCAACACTATCTGAACGCAGGGCGCCTTCGCCCCACGCCCTTGGGCGGTGGTCGCGGGCTTTCTGCCTTCCTGGCCTTAGCTGTCCACCAGGGCTGAACAGGGCGAGAAGAGCAACCTCTCCGGTTCCCGGCCCCCGTCCTTCACCCCGTGCCCCCCACCGTCGTCCCCCCGTCCTTCCCCGGGGCGGCCTCCCCGTCGTCCCCCGGGGCGGCCTCCCCGTCGTCCCCTCCGTGCCCCCCACCGTCGTCCCCCCCGTCCTCCCCCGGGGCGGCCTCCCCGTCGTCCCCTCCGTCCTCCCCCGGGGCGGCCTCCCCCGGGGCGGCCTCCCCGTCGTCCCCTCCATCCCCCCTCCCCGTCGTCCCCCCCGTCCTCCCCCGGGGCGGCCTCCCCGTCGTCCCCTCCGTCCCCCCTCCCCGTCGTCCCCCCCGTCCTCCCCCGGGGCGGCCTCCCCGTCGTCCCCTCCGTCCCCCCTCCCCGTCGTCCCCTCCGTCCCCCCCCCACCGTCGTCCCCTCCGTCCTCCCCCGTGTCCGCAGCCCGCGGTGTAGGCGGGGAGGGGCTGCGCGGGCTCGTCCCGCCACCGCGCCTCCCGCCGGGTCCACGGCGACCGGGTCCACGGTCCTCCCCTCCCGTTCTCCGCGTCCTCCGCGCGAGCGGCCGCATCCCGGCCCCAAGCCCGCCTCACCTCATGAGGTAGTCCCGGAAATCCTTGCTCCGGACATAGTCCGCCGCTCTTCGGACCAGCGCCCCGGCCATGGCGGAGACGCAGCTGCTCGGCCCCGCGGTGCCGGCCCGGAACGCAGACTCCACCGTAGACCCTCCGCGGCCCGCCGCGAAGCTCCAGGGCCCGCCTCACGACGCTCGGCCACGCCTTACGGCCGCCCAGCTCCCAGCCTATGGGAAGGAGTAGCGCTGAAATAGGCGTCTCGGATTGGCTCGCACCGGCCACACACCTTCCCCGCCCCCCGGCGCGACGCGGGGCGGGACCTGCTGTCGGAAACGGCCGGAGCGGGCGGGGATTGGCCGGCGGTTGCTAGGCCCTCGCGGGCGCGCGCGCGACGGCCCCTCCAGTCCAGTCCGGGGCGGACCCCACGCCGCTCGCGCTCTCGGGGCCGTCGCCCCGCCCGCAGGCCCCAAGGTCACCTTGGCGTCCCGGCCCGCCCTGGGCGCGCCCCGCGCTGGGGTCGGGGGCGCTGGTGATGCCAGCCGAGGGGCCTGAGGGCCCGGGCCTGTTGAGGCTCAGGACGGACCCCGACGTGGCGCAGTCAGCGCGCTGGGCCGTTGGCACCGAGGCGCCGAGCCCCGGACCGGCGCACGCGCACGCGCACGCGCACGCGCACGGTCGGCAGCCCCGCTGGCCGCCGCAGCCGTTTCCCCGCCCGCTTGGCGCCGGCTCTGGCGCCCGGGCTCTGTGGCTCGGGGGAGGCGGGGAGGCACGGAGGTAGCCGGACCGGCTTGCGCAGGCCGGCCCCGGCCCAGGCCAGCGTCCCCGGGCGGCCTACGCGGCCTGGTGGGCGGAGGGTGGAACCCGCCCGCGACCTGGGGCCCGCTGAGACGGCCCCACGCGAGGAAGCAGCTCAGCACCGCCCCGTCGGCCGGACAGACCGCCGGGCAGACGGACAGGCGCTGAGCCGCCCAGCCTCCCGCTGGGACCGGGAGCCCTGCGGGCGGGCCTGGTCGGTCCGGCGTCCCCAGGCGCACCTCCCTTCCTGTCCACGCGTGTCCCAGGCGCACTTCGCCTCCTTCCACGCGTGCCCCAGGGCACACCTCGCCTCCTGTCCACGCGTGTCCCAGGCGCACTTCGCCTCCTTCCACGCGTGCCCCCGCGCACCTCGCCTCCTTCCACGCGTGCCCCCGCGCACCTCGCCTCCTTCCACGCGTGCCCCCGCGCACCTCGCCTCCTTCCACGCGTGCCCCCGCGCACCTCGCCTCCTGTCCACCCGTGCCCCCGCGCACCTCGCCTCCTTCCACGCGTGCCCCCAGGGCGCACCTCGCTTCCTTCCACGCGTGCCCCCGCGCACCTCGCCTCCTTCCACGCGTGCCCCCGCGCACCTCGCCTCCTTCCACGCGTGCCCCCGCGCACCTCGCCTCCTTCCACGCGTGCCCCCAGGGCGCACCTCGCCTCCTTCCACGCGTGCCCCCAGGGCGCACCTCGCCTCCTGTCCACGCGTGCCCCCAGGGCGCACCTCGCCTCCTGTCCACGCGTGCCCCCAGGGCGCACCTCGCCTCCTGTCCACGCGTGCCCCCGGCGCACCTCGCTTCCTTCCACGCGTGCCCCCAGGGCGCACCTCGCTTCCTTCCACGCGTGCCCCCGCGCACCTCGCCTCCTGTCCACGCGTGCCCCCGCGCACCTCGCCTCCTTCCACGCGTGCCCCCAGGGCGCACCTCGCCTCCTGTCCACGCGTGCCCCCAGGGCGCACCTCGCCTCCTTCCACGCGTGCCCCCAGGGCGCACCTCGCCTCCTTCCACGCGTGCCCCCGCGCACCTCGCCTCCTGTCCACGCGTGCCCCCGCGCACCTCGCTTCCTGCCACGCGTGCCCCCAGGGCGCACCTCGCTTCCTTCCACGCGTGCCCCCAGGGCGCACCTCGCTTCCTTCCACGCGTGCCCCAGTGCGCACCTCGCTTCCTGTCCACGCGTGCCCCCGCGCACCTCGCTTCCTTCCACGCGTGCCCCCAGGGCGCACCTCGCTTCCTGTCCACGCGTGCCCCAGGGCGCACCTCGCCTCCTTCCACGCGTGCCCCCGCGCACCTCGCTTCCTGCCACGCGTGCCCCAGTGCGCACCTCGCCTCCTTCCACGCATGCCCCCGCGCACCTCGCTTCCTGTCCACGCGTGCCCCCGCGCACCTCGCCTCCTTCCACGCGTGCCCCAGTGCGCACCTCGCCTCCTTCCACGCGTGCCCCCGCGCACCTCGCCTCCTGTCCACGCGTGCCCCCGCGCACCTCGCCTCCTTCCACGCGTGCCCCCGCGCACCTCGCTTCCTGCCACGCGTGCCCCCGCGCACCTCGCTTCCTGTCCACGCGTGCCCCCGCGCACCTCGCCTCCTGTCCACGCGTGCCCCCAGGGCGCACCTCGCCTCCTTCCACGCGTGCCCCCAGGGCGCACCTCGCCTCCTGTCCACGCGTGCCCCCAGGGCGCACCTCGCCTCCTGTCCACGCGTGCCCCCGCGCACCTCGCTTCCTTCCACGCGTGCCCCCGCGCACCTCGCCTCCTGTCCACGCGTGCCCCCAGGGCGCACCTCGCCTCCTGTCCACGCGTGCCCCCAGGGCGCACCTCGCCTCCTTCCACGCGTGACCCCGCGCACCTCGCTTCCTTCCACGCGTGCCCCCGGCGCACCTCGCTTCCTGTCCACGCGTGCCCCCGCGCACCTCGCTTCCTTCCACGCGTGCCCCCGCGCACCTCGCCTCCTTCCACGCGTGCCCCCGCGCACCTCGCCTCCTTCCACGCGTGCCCCCGCGCACCTCGCCTCCTTCCACGCGTGACCCCGCGCACCTCGCCTCCTTCCACGCGTGCCCCCAGGGCGCACCTCGCCTCCTTCCACGCGTGACCCCGCGCACCTCGCTTCCTTCCACGCGTGCCCCCGGCGCACCTCGCTTCCTGTCCACGCGTGCCCCCGCGCACCTCGCTTCCTTCCACGCGTGCCCCCGCGCACCTCGCCTCCTTCCACGCGTGCCCCCGCGCACCTCGCCTCCTTCCACGCGTGACCCCGCGCACCTCGCCTCCTTCCACGCGTGCCCCCAGGGCGCACCTCGCCTCCTTCCACGCGTGACCCCGCGCACCTCGCTTCCTTCCACGCGTGCCCCCGGCGCACCTCGCTTCCTGTCCACGCGTGCCCCCGCGCACCTCGCTTCCTTCCACGCGTGCCCCCGCGCACCTCGCCTCCTTCCACGCGTGCCCCCGCGCACCTCGCCTCCTTCCACGCGTGCCCCCGGCGCACCTCGCCTCCTTCCACGCGTGCCCCAGGGCGCACCTCGCCTCCTTCCACGCGTGCCCCAGTGCGCACCTCGCCTCCTTCCACGCGTGCCCCCAGGGCGCACCTCGCCTCCTTCCACGCGTGCCCCCGCGCACCTCGCTTCCTGCCACGCGTGCCCCCGCGCACCTCGCTTCCTGTCCACGCGTGCCCCCGCGCACCTCGCCTCCTGTCCACGCGTGCCCCCAGGGCGCACCTCGCCTCCTTCCACGCGTGCCCCCAGGGCGCACCTCGCCTCCTGTCCACGCGTGCCCCCAGGGCGCACCTCGCCTCCTGTCCACGCGTGCCCCCGCGCACCTCGCTTCCTTCCACGCGTGCCCCCGCGCACCTCGCCTCCTGTCCACGCGTGCCCCCAGGGCGCACCTCGCCTCCTGTCCACGCGTGCCCCCAGGGCGCACCTCGCCTCCTTCCACGCGTGACCCCGCGCACCTCGCTTCCTTCCACGCGTGCCCCCGGCGCACCTCGCTTCCTGTCCACGCGTGCCCCCGCGCACCTCGCCTCCTTCCACGCGTGCCCCCGCGCACCTCGCCTCCTTCCACGCGTGCCCCCGCGCACCTCGCCTCCTTCCACGCGTGCCCCCGCGCACCTCGCCTCCTTCCACGCGTGACCCCGCGCACCTCGCCTCCTTCCACGCGTGCCCCCAGGGCGCACCTCGCCTCCTTCCACGCGTGCCCCCGCGCACCTCGCCTCCTTCCACGCGTGCCCCCGCGCACCTCGCCTCCTTCCTCGCGTGCCCCCGCGCACCTCGCCTCCTTCCACGCGTGCCCCCAGGGCGCACCTCGCCTCCTTCCACGCGTGCCCCAGGGCGCACCTCGCTTCCTTCCATGCGTGCCCCCAGGGCGCACCTCGCCTCCTGTTGCCGTCCATGCGTGTTCCTGAAGCTTCTGAGATAGCACACAGTTCACATAGCCAGAGCTGGAAACAACCAGCGACATCTCTGGCAGGTGCACACGCTTATCTTCACACAATGCCAGTTCCATGTGTCAGCACTGAGTTTTCCAATGACTGTGTGTGTGTGTTTGCACCACATCATTTCATCTCTCAGAGATCACTCATTCTTCATCAACCCCCCTCCCCCCCCCCCATCCTTGGACGGCACCAGGTGCCAGGAGGTGCCTGGGGCCAGCTGAACCCAAGAGATACGGTTTTTGCTGTGCTCACATTCCCACAGGAGACACAGGTGAGGAGAGAGAGGGAATGGGATCCTGTGGACTGGAGAGATGGCGTGCAGCTGGGGCGGAGTGGGGTGGCTCTAGGCAGCAGGGTCATGGGAAGCTCCGGAGAAGGTGAGAATCCTGCTGGGCCTATGGAGGGCGGACAGGGAGGGGTGGAGGATGCAGAGGGGTGGGGGATGGGAGGTGAGGCGGACAGGGAGGGGTGGAGGATGCAGAGGGGTGGGGGATGGGAGGTGAGGCGGACAGGGAGGGGTGGAGGATGGGGACATGGGGAGGGGTGGAGGGAGGGGACGTAGGGAGGGGTGGAGGAAGGGGACGTAAGGAGGGGTGGAGGATAGGGAGGGGTGGAGGAAGGGGATGTGCTAGGCAGGTGGCAGGGTTGGTGAGTGGGAGGGAGGGGTGGAGGTTGGGGATGTACTAAGCAGCAGGCAGGGTTGGTGAGTGGTCAGGCTGGAGAGGCCTGGAGGCAAGGTCAAAACGACCTTGAGCAGCTCTGTCAGCTGTCAGCAGTGCCAAGGGTCCACGCAGATCAAGGTCCTGGAGGCCCACTCAGCCCCCAAATAGGAAGCAAGAGGCCTCCCTCCCCTTGGGTTTGGTCCCTTTCATCAGGTAACTCCTGTTCCGAGAGGGGGGTTCTGGATTTCCCCCAGGTCCTGGCAGAGCCTGAGGTCTGGTCACGGCC